TTACCGATCATGCTGCGTTAACTTGGAGTAAGACCTTCCAGAACGTCAATCGTCGACTTTTGACTTGGGGAACGGTGTTCTCGGCCTACCCGAACATGGAGATCATACATCGAGCCGGTCGAGTTCACTCTAATGTCGATCCCGTTTCAAGATTGAGAAGACGTGTTCCAATTGAGCAAGGACCTTCTACCGATCCGACTACGTCTCTGTCCTTGAAGGACGAAGTCGATGACCCGCTAAAGGATATGTACGAGTCCTTGAGCCCCAAATTCGAGGAGAAGCTTCTCAAAGTCGCGTCCAGATTTTGTGAAACTCTATCCTCCGACGATAACGACCATCCAATATTTGAGGAGACAGTTCTGATCGACCCAGACCAACCGTCTATCGTCTATCAGGCGGCTTGCAATTACTCTTTAGTAGTCGGACTATCGGAACAATACCACCGACAACTAGTTGAGGGGTATCAGTCCGACAGTCACTATCGAGAGATTGTAAAGACGCTTCGTACAGAGGAAAGCATAACCAATTCAAAGTATCCTCAGTATAGTCTTGGTGAAAACGGTCTGGTCTACTTCACCGATCCCTTGGGTAATAATCGACTCTGCATTCCTCAGAAGGAACGGCTCGAGCTCATGAAGGAGGCCCATGATCGAGAAACGGAAGGAGCTCACGCGGGTTACCACAGGACGTACAATCGGTTGGCCACAACGTACTACTGGCCGGGAATGTCTCGAGACATTAAGCGATATACCTCTACCTGTGATATTTGTCAAAAATCCAAGCCGAGGAGACACGCACCAGTCGGGTTACTGCAACCGATCCCAGTTCCAACTCAGCCGTTTGAAGTCATTACAATGGACTTCATACCGGAATTGCCGAACTCTTCAGGGTTTGACAATATCCTGGTTATAGTAGATAAGCTTACGAAGTATGGCTTATTCATTCCTACTACTACCAAGATCACTGAGAAGGAAACAGCTAAGCTCTTGTTTGACCAAGTATTCAAGGAATACGGTCTGCCGAGACAGATAATTTCTGACCGAGATATCCGCTGGCGAGGTGAATTCTGGAAGGAAGTCTGTCGACTTATGGATATTCAACGATCTCTTACTACGGCATACCATCCACAGGCGGACGGTCAAACAGAAGTACTCAATCAGACGTTGGAGATTTCCTTGCGAGCGTACATTGGACCGACCCGAGACGACTGGTCCGATCATGTAGGTCCACTTCAATTATCATACAACTCGACTCCGCACTCTGCAACCGGTTTTGCTCCGGCCTATCTTTTACGAGGATATCACCCGATCACGGCGAGCAAGTTGCTTCACTCTCCCGAGAGCGTTCAGCAAGAAATTGGAAACTCAACTCATCCGAACGCAGTCGATCTTGCTACTAGGTTTGAAGCTGATCGTCGCCAAGCCCGAGAAGCTCTACTTTTAGGCCAGGTGTATCAGAAGCGAGCCTATAACAAGGGACGACTGGAAGTCGAGTTTGAAGTAGGCGATCAAGTAGTCCTGAACGTTCACTCGCTGGAATTACTTCGCGCAGAGACTGGCCGAGGACGCAAGCTTCTTATGAAGTACGATGGACCTTTTGAAGTTATCGACAAGGTCAGCTCCGTCGCATACCGGATTCGACTACCCGAGTCATACGGAATGCACCCGGTAATAAACATCGCGCATTTGGAGCAGTACAATGCGTCTCCGGCCGAATTTGGGAACCGACCGATCAAGAGACTTAATCGGTTGGATTTCAATGAACTACCTGAGTATGAGGTCGACTGCATCGTCAATGAACGACGACGCAAGGTTAACGGTCAACGTCGACTCGAGTACAGAGTTCGATGGGTCGGATACGGACCGGAATCCGATGAGTGGCTACCAGAGGGTCGATTAAGGAACGCACCCGAGGTGGTGAAGGAGTGGAAACAACGCAAGATCGAGTCTAGGCCTTACTCGATTGTGCCACCAGGAAGATTGTCTGACCATTCTGGTCAACAATAAGGTCGAGCTAAGCGACCTAAGCGAAGGAATACTCTATCTCTTTGTTTAATTCTGTGAATTTTGCTGCATTATGCTCCAACGGTGGAGTGGCTCACTGCGGCCATCCATATAAATACGCTCCTTTCCAACCGATTTCTTCAGCCAATGTGCCCTTCCAACTCCAGCAAGTCCAACTCTCATGTCGCTGTCTATTGCCCCTCAAAGTGCCGACATCATCGCCCCGCTGAACGACCCGGGAGCTCTTTCAGCAGTAAACCCCTTCGCCGAGACGACCCTGTTCGTGGGGAACTTCTTCACCTGGACTCCCGACGACAACATGTTCTTCGAGCACCCCGTGTTAGGGATAGAGGCTTGATAGCCTCAGAGTGCACAGAAACTCGTTAGAAGTGTTTACTTACCGAGTGGCTGCATCAGTGAAGGTTTGTTATGTGCTTATCTTACTCTCCTTATCTTTCCTTTATTCCTCTCAATGGACATCAATGTAGCGCTTTCATTGTTTTATTACCGAGGTATTGATTACCGACGTTTTAATGCTTTAGAAGCGCTTGTTACTGTATCTACTAAACGGACTATTACTGAGTTTCTAGTGTGTGTTCTTACTTATTATGACCAGATGCTTTCAGTACTGATACAAGAGCTATTGTATGCTCGGTAAATGATGGTTATTACCGATCAATTACCGAGTTATAATGGTTTTGTATCGGCATAGAAAGGAATGGCTGTGCGACAATTACCGAGCCATTCCTGAAGCTATGTTGAATGGCTGTGCTATCCTTAGGCTGTACACCGAAAATGCGGACTCTTGCATGCCTCGGTAATGCCTCGGGAATCACAGTCCTGAAACAGTGGCTGTACTGTGGCTGTACTAGGATGACTCGGTAACATAGCTTGCCTTGTTGGAAACAATGAAGTGTAAGGCTATGATCCTATTGTTCTCCTAGAATGGCCTCTGGAGCGGTGTAAATGAGTCAAGGACATGTACTATACACTTCTACGACATTCCTTGATTTTCTATATACTTCCATGTAGCTCCATTGGCTGTGTCCTCGGTAATGGCATAAAAGGGCATTCCCGAGCATGGTCAAGGACATCTATCATCCAATCCACCATCTACTCTTCACCGAAACACACCCTGTGTGCCACTCAAAGTCTTACTTTGTCCCGAGTGCTAAGTTAGCCATACTAGCCACTCAACCACTCTCGCCGAGTTCTTACCGACGCGCTCTAAGACCTGCGACAGTGAAACCTTACTTAGTACAGTCCTCGCGCTACTAGTAAGGTTTAAGTAACCCATTGACTGACTTCACAAGTTGAGTTCAGTAAGAGAAGGTGCTTAGTCATCATCTACCTCTGTAAACTTGTTACCAACATCAATAGATCTCTGTATCAACTAGTTCCATACTAGCACGTCTCAGTGGCATTACTATAATTAAAGTGGTTAGCCTAACCAGCAACTCACTTGACACTAAAGCAAGCCTTATAGCCATTAGCTGGTTAAGGATTAATTGCCTTAGTGAGTCCCTCTTGAAGCACGGCCTCGCGCTGCTACATTAGGGTTTTGTAACTTGCCATCGTCACTGTGCAGTCAAAGCTAGCTGTACAGACTTCCATTCAACTTCTGTTGTGTGACTTCAAAACCAAAAAAGCCCATTCCTTCGGAATCAACCTCTGGATACTAATCCTCTGTATTCAGACTTCATCCTCTATTCTGAAAAGCTCTAAACCTCGGCAATAATCCCCATTCATTGCCGACTCAAATCCATTCATAGCTTACTCTTCCCAGTTGAAGAGCAGTACTGCATACTTGTATAGCAGCACTGACTAAAGTCCCACCCTCTTTTGTATTTGTTGTGGATCTGGTATCCTCATTACAGCTCAACTTTGCGCCGTCTCGGTAATTGCATTGCCGAAGATTACCGAGGATTTTACCGTTTGTTACCGCTTTGTATAGGCAATACAAATCTCTATCACCGAGGTTACTATTCCTATTGACTCGGCAATAAACTCGGTAACTAGCTTTCTATAAACAAAAACAGAACCATAACACCCCGGAGGAAACGGGGCAGTCGTTCTTAAGAACGGGTACGCCGACGCGATCTGGATCGCTCTGGCAATCACGCATGGGCAAATGCGTATCAACCAGTCGGTCCTCGACGTAGCCCGCGAGTTAGGGCTAGCCGATCCTCCATCCTGGCTACTACACCCTTTCTACCGCGATTTCAACCTACTCCAAAGCCCTTTTGTTAGCCGCGAAGCCGCTTGCAACACGATCGCTCGGGCCCAACGTTGCGGGCTTGACGCAATCACTTGGACCACGAATTTCGTCCGAGTTAGCTGCAATAATCCCCACGTCTTCCAGCGCATTCAACATGGAGAACGCGGCCTGATCGAGTACTACCGATCGATCTGTTGGCCTGAATGGGCTGCCGAAGGAAACCCCGTCCGCGCACTCGTCCTTCATCCCACTCTGGCGAGAGGTAACGAGGCACAGTACCGTCCTACCTCGCCGTACTTTGGAATTGCGCCACGCAATCAAGTCTTGACTGCGCGCACGGTCGATCCCCGCCAGTCGGCTAGACGCATTGCGGAGCCGACCGAGGTCGAACTCAGCACCTTCAAGCAAGACATGCTAGGACGCTCGGTTGCTCCGATCGATCGACTCGAGACGATCGAGGAGGAAGTCGAGTTTGCTGAGGTTGGAGTCATGACTGACCCGGTCGAGGAAGATGAAGACTTTGACGAGTTGATGGTTGAAGAAGATCATGCGATGTAGACTGAAGGATTACGGTCTTAAAGTCTTAGGGGGGGTAGTTCGGGGGTGATGATTGATCTCCGTGTATGAATACAGTCAGATGGTTGCAATTTTCTCGCTTATACATCGCTCAATGACTCAGACAAGCATGATTCATTCAAGACTACAACGACAGCGATAACAGCATACAAAACGAGGAAAGCAACTATCTACGATTATTCTAAAAGAGACTTCTAGACCGATCAGAAGGCACGATCTTTCCCCTTACCGCTAACTCCCTTGCCGGTCGAAGAACTCGAAGCTATTCAAGATTCAGTCATTCAGTATGGTCCAAAAGAAAGGTGTTCAATCTTACCCTGAGTACGACCGAGTTGATACTGGAGCGATTGATTCTGCGCTTCCAAGGACGTTACTTGAGCCTGGAGCGCCGTATACGCTGATCGCTGTTGATCAAGCTCCAATTGAAGAGCGGTGATTAAACCGGCTTGATCGTTCAGAGTGCGGCCTTGAGACTCAATCACCCGTTGCATGTGAGTGGTTGCAGAGGAAGGCCCGGGTCCAGCTTCGACCGGTCGAAGAGCCGAAGAGAGAGGCGAAGGGAAGCTTGACGCTTCAGTCGAGGGAGGACCGAGGTGGGACAAGCCCGTCAAAGGAGAAGGACCGATCAGAGGGCTGGGCAGCTCAACCTCAGGAGAAGTCCTGAGCCGCTTGCGAGGGGGTTCCTGGAACAAACAAGAAGTTAACCAGAACTAAGGAGAGTCGATCGACTACTTACCTTATCGACGTCCTCGTCCTCCTCCTCCTCGACCTCTTCATCCTCCTCCTCCTTTTCTTCTTCGTCTTCCCCTTCGCTGTCTTCACTGTCCTCGATCTCGTCCGATTTTTCGTCAGTCATTCTGACGTCTTCATCAATCTCCTCGGAGGAAGATCGATCGACTTGGACGGATCGTTCCTCTTCCAGCCCACTCCATTCCTCGAACTCTTCGTCCCCGGGCAAGCCGATCTCAGGAGAGATTCTTCTGGGTAGATTCTTTCTAGTCCTCGATCGACTAGCAGTCTAGTCAACAAGAGGGGTTAGAATCAGTCAAGTCAGAAAATGAAGTCCTTACCGGGTGGTCCTTAACGAAGCTGCAACCGACTCTTTTGCGGTTGCATTCGGCACATGCAGTCAGTCCATCCTGGACGAAGCACGGGATTGTGGTTTTTCCTCGGCTCTTAAGGCATTTTGCGCAGCGAAGTTCGGCCTTATACTGATTGTCACGGTCAGTAGGAATAAGCGGTCAATCTTTGAGTACTCACCAAAGTTCCGTCACCTAAGAACTCGGGATTGGAGTCGGGATCGACTCCATTTGGAGGAAGAAGAGCCGCTTCTTCGATTCCCAGCTTGGTCAGAGATTTGAAGTCCATCTCTGAAGGCTCAGGACTATTCGATCTGGAGGAGACGGGAGACATGGCTCGACTTGGAGTAAAGGAACCGGTCGTATCTTGATCCTCGGCTAGAAGCAAGTCGTCAGTAATTCGGGGAGGCCCTCAACTGAGACTCACTGAAGAGGCGAGACCCAGCTAAAGGAGGTCAGCCAGAGGAAGTCGAAGACAAGGAGAGTTCAAGGACTCACCGATCCATTGGTGAACGAATGACCGCGCCGCGGCGTCTATTTGAACCATGGAGATCGGATCGCCTTCGCGGATCGGGACATCCCATTGGTCAACCGGATGACCGTGTCGAGCCATATAGCTCTGGAGCGATCTAGTCCAGCCAAGGCCATCTTCGGGATCGTCGTGCCATTGGTAATCCCAAACATCCTCCAGGATAGAGGGAAGAGGATGCTCGTCCCAATTTAGTGAGTCCAGCCAGTCATCGGTCTTACTTCGATCAGTTCAATGATCGAGGAGGTCTAATGATCGACTTACAAAAATATGGATCATCAAGATTCGTTCTATTGCGCGCCAGTCCCATGGTCCGAGGATGACGTACCGAACCGTTTCCTGAAGTCGATATAGTCGAGCACCAGTCCAGTAGTCGGGTGGAGGATCATGGAAAAGAACTCGATCGACCCTTTTGTGTTTTGCCTTGCCGACCGATCGCATATAGTCAACAAAGCCATCGTAAGTCACAGGGCCGACCATAGTAAGGATTAAGCTAGTTCGCGATCCTAGGCAAGGGGGGGTATGTTAGGTAGGCCTAACGTCAAAGGGATTGCCTAAGTCGCGAAAGCCTGTCAAAGTGGTTAAGCGCTGACACGTGACTTACGGCGAAGACCTTCCTTTCCGGTACAAGTCCTTACTTACCCTTTAGAGTCAGTATCAGCTGATCCCGGAGATCGCTCGGGCAAGGGATCGACTTGTCTAGACTCGGCAAGGGCAACCGAACTAAAGCCGATCGGTTCGGTCTAAGAACAATGAGTATACGGGGTACTCGACCGAGGACATTGGAAAGGCTATTGTTCTCTTGTAGAATATTCTAGTACATTTGGAATGTATTTAAACACTGTGGTAGTGACCAGACAAATAACACTCTCTTGAACTTCAATCTATTGGTGTGAGCCACTCGATCGTCCATAGCTCCGCGCTGGACATACTAAGGTCGATCGTACTTATAGCCGTGCGCTAAGTCGATCTACCTTGACCCCTTCAATAGTATAGCCTCGCGCTACTCTGAAGGGTTCGGTAAGAGTAAGCTTCATCGATCTACGGTTAGAGTCGGGTTCGTGTTTAGTGGCATCCTCAACTATTGTTGTAACGCTCTATTCACTAAAGTCGTAACCGACTTACTTTGCTCAACCAAGTTTCTTAGCTTCATTAAGAACGTAGGCACTACTGTGCCACTCCGGACTTAGTGCGTGAACTTGTTGAGCGAAATCGATTCTCGATCGACTAAACCTCATAAGTCGATCACTCAAATCGTTGTGTTAATCCTCTTCACAACGAGATAATCCTCAATTCATTTCTTAACTAAGGCGACTACGATTACGTAACTACCGACGGTTGTTACTAAGTAAGTACTCGGTAAGTTAGCAATCCCAGTCCATAACAGATTCCTTGGTCGAGTCTCTGTTTGTCCAGCTGTTTGGTGACAACATCCCACACAAGCACAAGATCTTTGGCAACTGGTTCATTGACGAAATCTTCCCCTGGCTCACTCGGACTACATACATGGAGCCTTCTGTCAGGGTAAGCATGCTTCGTTCTTGAGTGTCACTTCTGCATGTGTGCTGACATATTATAGACCATTTACCTGCCACGCAACGAGTGGTATGAGCTACAGGAACACCTCGCCTCTTGCCATCAAATCCGTCGTGGCATCATCAAGTGAGTTGTTTATTCCCAATAGTGACATCTATGCTGATGACTGAGTACACAACAGATTATTCTACAATCTCAGCCAGCAACACCTAACGATGTCTGTCACCACTCCCTTGCACACAGAAGCCGGTGGGCACCTGGAGGAAGGCATCAATGTTGTCGGGTACCTGAGTGAACAACTCAGGTACACCAAGATCAAGGCGGAGAGTAGCGGTGCAGCACCATACTGTGTCACGTCAGAGGGCAAGGTGCTCCAGCAGGTCGCTGACCACAAGCTGTCGGTCGTTCTTCGCCAAGAATTCAGGCGCCTGCAGGGCCAACGTAGGCTCACTCGAGGAGCCGAAGTACAGCCTCCCCCATTCTCTTGCGAGCTCACCAATGTGGAGACGTCCCACAGCAAGCACAATGGTCATGTTTTACACAAAGTAAGTTCCTGTGCTGCTGTACATAGGTTGGCTCTGACTCTGATTGAAGGCTACTGTGAGATCCAGTCTCATGACCAAGTTTGCTCCTACAGAGGTGGAGGGTGTAGTTTTGTTGCCTGCACCTGCCCTGGCAGCCACTTCCTCGTCTACCCTCGCCAGCCCAGCAGGTGCTCAGGCCTTGGCCCAATCCCCTTCTCTCCGTCCACCAGCCACTTCCTCATCTACCCTCACCAGCCTGGCAGGCGCTCAGGCCCAGGGCTGTCCACGGCGGTGGTCTACCAAGCCAGCCCAGGCCCCAGCTCAATCCCCTTCTCCCAGTCCAGTGCGGCAGTCTATCAAGCCAGAGGGAGAAGAGATTGAGATATTTGGTATCGTCCCGGTCATCATCATCAACCTCCAGGACGGTTCAATGGCAAAGGGAGGTGGAAAGCCTGTGGGCTGTAAGATGGTCACCTTCACCTCAGCGGATGGCATACTCGAGTTGGAAATGGCACCCCTCAAAGACGCGGATTCTTTCTTTGGCCAACTCTGGCAGGGGGACACACTACTCACCCCAGAGAGGTCAGCTGCAATGCTTGTCTTCCCAGACAGAGAGGGTCTGGAGCGCCTGAGGAAGGGCGTTGAGGCTGGATGGAGTGCAGAGCGGTTCATCGAGGAAGGAGATGGCATGGTAAGCCTTACTAAGATCTCTGCTTTACAACATTGCTGAAGTGAACATAGCACATTGTCCCAGACGTCCCAGAGGCACCAGGTGACGGCACCCAGCAAAGCCCCACAGTACGGCAGGAATACCTGAGGATGATACCAGTGTGGGAGCAGTACGTGCGGCAACTTCGCTATATGCAGTGCGCGTACGAAAAGCTGGCCATCAATGTGATGCATGGCACCAAATCTGACGAGGCGACTGCGTGGCTTAAAGACATCCTCCCTCGGCTCAAGGCACAAGAGGCACAATTGCCTGAGGGTGTCGCAAAGGAGGACGACTTCGGCCTCGCATATGTGGTAGACCTCATTGCCGAAGGTCTCGCACAGGCGGCAGAAAAAATGGCGGTGGAAAAGCACCAAAGTAGCTTCTCGGCGCAGAACAGTTACCCCAAGGTCTTGTTGGCCGCCAGCATGAAGCGGACCCATGGCGATCCGTGCTGGATTGATATCAATGAGGGCCACCTCGATGATGGCTACCAATACCTGCTCGAAGGGACACTGACCAAGAAACTGCAGTACCAGAGCCCGCCCACGTCGGCCTACCTGTTCACCGACTGAAAGTGGACGGACCCGCACACCGAGCAGGTCATGGAAGATGTGGAAACATACGACGCAGAGGCTGACTCGGACACGCGTGCAGTTGAGCGTGCGCAGGAGGCCACAGATGAGGGCTGGAGCAGCAAGGCTACGTAGTCGTAGTTGCAAACTTGCAGGTAACTTGGAGCCCGCGAAGGACATGGAACATTCCTAGATCCTGATGTACAATAGTGTTGTTGTTGCTGTGTCATCATACTATGGTGCGCTCAATCAGTAGTACATGGGTACATGTGAACTTGAACAGGAGCAAACAGATGTCAATTGCGGTGATGAGCGACCGTACCTCACGTACTTTCTATGGACTGCACTAGATAGTAGCAATTTCCCCATCTGACAGCCTACACTGACTCACCTGCCTCCACCGTTCGAGTTGAGCCCGTCGCCAGCGCGGAGAGCCCGTCCGCACTGCCCGACGTGCGTCTAGCCTCATGCTCAGCCCCAACACTGACGGCCGCAGCGCCTGCACCTGCCGAACCGTATCCCACCCGCGTCGCCATACCCGTTGTACAATCTGCTCGGACGTGAGTTGAGGAACTCGAACCCTTAGGCAAGTGGTATACTTCAATATGGCTGGGTTGATGTCATACCCAGGGGGTCCGCACCCCACTGCTTGCCATGAGATGACCTGTACAAGAGGTTGTCCAAGCCCGTAAAGAGGTCGCTCTAGGCGAACATCTGTCCCCGAAAGGAACGCGCTGTGGGGAAAAAATCGACAACGGGGGATGCAGCACCGGCGTAGACAACGACAGCGTCGGGCTCGTCGTTAAGTCCGGGTGGTCGTACGAGGGGCGAAGGGCGGTGGGATAGGGAAGCGGAAGGGTGGGTCAAGCAGCAGGCAGGCGGTGGTCTTGCGAATCGCACCTGCCACGACAGCCGGCCCGTCTCTTACTGATGGGCCCGGGCGTGGTGGGTGACAGCGGCGGTCGTCCGAGGGCGGCAGGGCGGGAGGCAAGGAAGGGGCGGGAGCAGAGGGATGGTGGGAGGTGGCGGGTGAGACGGAAACAGCGGCCGGCGGGCACTCACCTGGGTACTGGCCGTTGCTGTAATCTCTCGTAGCTCCGGTTCTCTCCCCGTGGTTTCAGCAATGCTTTGTTTTTGCGTCGCTGGAGCTTGTCGCGGCCACTTGAAACGGCGTCTTCGGACGCGCAGCTGGTCGGTCGCTGCGAACGCCATTGCGCATCCCGCGTGCCACGCCACAAGGCCGTCTTTTGTACATGGCTCGCGGGGCGTGTCGTCGAGGGTGAGGTGGCTGTCCGAAGGTGCAATGGAGGCTGGAGCGGAAAGGTGACAGTGAAAGGCGCGGGCGGTATGTAGTCGATGGGCTTGCGGGTCGCGCGGGCCTCGCCAGACGGTGCGCATGCTGACGAGCCTGTGCGTGCACTTCCTACGCACACGCGCCAGCTGCGCCGTCGACACAGAGGCCGAGGAGTGCGCCAAGTGAGCGTTCGCACGAGTGCGATAGTAAGTAGGCCACGTACCCGCACTGCGCGTTCCGCTTTCTGCTCGTTCGAGAGGCTGACCGTGCCAAACCCCCTGATCGTCCGTCCGCTCCCAGCGCGACTAACTACGCCCTGTGTATGCAGAATTCAATGTGAGTATGGCGATTCGGCAATGCATGGGTACTTTACGAGCAGGTGAGGCTTGGGTGAGGCTGTGTCGATTGGAACTTGAAGAAAGCGCCGCTTGACAGGAACGTGACCGTGACCGTTTGTTCGTCGCCGAGGTTGCTCAGGGCCTGCTCAGGCTTGCGTCCGAGTCGCGCCAGCCTTTTGTGGGGCGAAGCGGCGAGCATGCGTAGTATGCTCCGGCACGGAAGCATCGACAGACTTGTGAATGAATCAACGCAGTTTTTGTCGGCATGTTTACACCCACATGTCGACCCCTTCGTGCCCAGATACCAAGCTACAACGTGTTAGAACATACATAGAGTACACACAATATACAGAGACGGATTCCGTCGGCACTAGTACCCGTTAAATAGCAGAAAACACGGCCTTCAAATACGTCTTCAACCCATGGAGGCCAAACACGATCCCACCCACCACGCCATCGGGGCGGATGATGACAGTCGTAGGGTGCTCGGCAGACGCACTGTACGCAGTGTACGCATGACCTTCCCTGTCCACGACAGTGATATCAGCCCCGGCCACGGGGGATGCGTTTACTGTCTCGCGCGGGTAGACCACCACGGTTTTCACGCTGTCGGCAGGGTAGTACTTGAGTTCCTCAAGGATCGGCTGCGTAGCACCGGCCTCGGATGTAAAGAGCAAGACCGTGTGGTGGACCGGGCGGAAGATACTGAAGAACGATAACGTAGCCTGCTCGTTGCCAGACACGGGGACTAGGCCTGGGGCGTCCAGAGCGCGATCGCCCGCGCGGACGACACCGTCCGTCTCGCTGCCGTAGACATTGGCGGGCTCCTTGGGCTTCTCGGCCGCGCGCTCGTCCACGACGATAGAGCTCCAGCAGTAGTTGATGCCGAGTTGCTTCAGTGCCCAGCCGCGCTTCCACGCCGAGTCGTCGTTACTGCCCTGCGACGAGCGCTCGAGCGCGTTCAGGAGAGCGGTACTCTCTTGCAGCATGCCGGCGATCACGGGGAGACGCTCTTCAGTGTACGTGTCGAGGAGGTCGGGCGAGGCCAAGCCCTTCTCCACGAGCGTGAGCTTCCAGGCGAGGTTGAACTGTCGCGGATCGTGAGATGGGGAGGTGCAACTGGATCCGATCGTTACTCACCGAGTCCTGCACACTGGAGTTCAAACCCTGGCCTCCAGTTGGACTGTGGACATGAGCCGCGTCTTCACGAGTCTTTACAATGATGACAAAGGTGATGAATTCTATAGGGCCTACCTCCAGCCACGAAGCCTCGACCTTCCCCGAACTTGTTCGCCATACGGATGTTCGGGCTGTCGCGATTGATCATCAGGTGAGTGTGTGTGTCTCAACGCATAGGCACTCACCGCCAATCAGTGATCCACCGAAGCTCTCCAAACTTCAGGTCCTGCCGGTCTGTAGCGGCGCGGATCGTCTTCACAAATTCCTCCTTATTTGACTGGAGCTTCTCGAAGTCGATCTGACCGCCGATTATAACGTAGAAACAGTTTAGATTCTCTGTCGGACGCATCATGCAGCTACAGAGGTCGGGGCACGTTAATTGACTGGTCACGTTATCATCGGCTTGACACGCACAAGAGTGTCGATGGGTCGCCCCATTGGTGCCAATACTGGAGATGCCAACATGTGTGACTGATGTTAAACTCGTATACGGCAGACTCACGTCACGATCCAAACCGAAGACCTCGAGCTCGCCGACCAACGTGTGTTGGGCGCGGGTTTCTCCTTGGAAAGTGAGACCGAGCTTCTTGCGAGTGACACCTACGAAAGGTCAACAAAGTGCCAGTGTCTTGCGCAAGAACGCACACACGAACCTCTGCCACCATCAGTGCCGACGAGGAAGCGACAGGTAAGAATTTCTATCTTCTCCGTGACTCCGTCATTCTTGGCGAGTTGAACAACAACATGGTCCGGGTGTTGCTCGAAATCGCGCAACTCAGTGCCGAGTTCCACCGAGCAGCCATACTTCGCGAGGTGGGCTCGCAGGATCGCCTCGCTGTTGTCCTGGCCAATGTGCACGCCGTTCACCTTACTCGGGATAGCTGCAGCATGAGCGGCCTGTACGTGCCACGATCAGAGAATCGACGCACAATGGGCGTTGAAGGTGTCGGTTTGTCGTACTGCAGCATAGTGACAGTCTTGAGAGGCTCGGTTCCCCCTGGCAGCTTGTACACGCGGCGTTGGGTCGGCGAGATGATTGCTTTGGCAAGGACGTCATTCAGAACACCGAGGTAATTCAAAACCTCTAGCGTCCGAGGCTGATAGAATGAACAAGTACGAGTACATCAGCGATGTTGAACATGCGATTGGCGATGTTCAAGGGTCGCTTACCTGCATTCCCGCTCCCCTCTGGCCAGGGCGATAGAATGATTCTTTGTCGATGATGCGCACTTTCACGCCATTCTGCGCGAGTGCGAGCGCAAGTACCAGGCCTGCGGGGCCCGCGCCAGCCTAGAGACAATGTGAAAGCGATCATCAGCCCATAGAAGAGTACCACTTACGATGAGGATAGCGGTAGCTACGTTGCTACTCATCGTGTCGAGATCAATGTCCTTGAAATGAGTGCTTGTGCGATGCTGTCGATACGTCCATTCGCCCCCTTTATAACGTCACATCATACACACACTTCCTGCCGTTCTCGCTCGTCATCGCCCGGCGCCGCAGCAAACATACATAACTTAGAAGTGACATACGTACACACTGTCCGAAGTCACCGCGCCCGGCGCCCTTGCCGCCGGATATGATGCACTCGGTCCAAGTTCGTCACTCGAGGTGGGTGAAAGCAAGCTCCAGATGTTGTCCAGACGCGCGAGAACTTCCGAACAAGACGCAGACCACTGAGGCTAGTGCTCGACATTTGCACCTTGCGTGTGTCCTGGCCGAATCCCCTACGTGCACTCAACGGCAGCCAGTACCCAGCAGAGTCGAGACGATGGCAGCGGGCGAATGACACATGTCGCTGACACAAAGACACTCTTCCGCGCGGTTTGGGAATGAGATGATGCGCTGCGCTCGCCGCTCGCCGCAATGCGGAGGGCGCGCCTCGATGGCCGAAAAAGGAAAGTAGTGTTCAAGTCGCGTGATTACTGTCCACCGTACAGAGCTTCAAGTTCCTGCTCAGCCTTGCTGCACAAGTTGTTGACGTCGAGGACCGCCCGTTTCGCCTCCGCTGCGCCCCCAATGCAGGAACAGTGGCAGAAGATAGCCCTGACATGAACAGCTAGCAGGCGTCAGTATCGAGCGGCGGCTCGGTACATACAAAGCGTCGCAAGCGGCGGCCGGTGGCGCGGATGGCCAGTCGGGACTCAATACATACTAAACTCGAATCCTTTGCGCGCATCATGATGATCCACCTCCAGGCCTTCCCAGCCGCAAAGGGCCCCGGCATTCGTGGCGGTATCAGATAATGGACATACTAGACCTTAGCCCCGGCAAATCGGGTTTCGCTCGAGGCCCCCAATTGCCCTGAATATCTTCGTATGTTCTTCAATCAAGTTCAATGGACTGCCTTGCCCAAGTGCTGACATGTCACTGTCATTCGTGCGCAATCCGTTTGTTGTCCCTCAATACCACAACGGTTTAAGGCCTGACGATTCACAGACAGCTCTACACTACCCATCATTCCTACCAGGGTTTGCTCGGACGCATCGCGTCGCTCCGACTCCGCGCCATTATGTTCCTGTCAGTATCAACGTGGCATTCGGAGTGCAATACGATACGGCATCAGTCCTGGGGCCCCCTCATATGCCAAACTCCCACCCTTCGCTACAGTCAGCGGCCAGGACTGGGATACGTTCAAGTACAGAGTCAAGTGGTGGCGCGTAGGTTCGCGTTCAGACCAGGGCCTACCCGCTATCGAAAAGGTGTCGGAGTTCGACACAGACCTCCTTGAGCGTCAGCTCTTGGCAAACCCGCGGTACCGAATGCGACTGGGTGAGTTTTCGACTCGGAACATTAGGTGTGCAGATTGATCTCACATACTCCCGAACAGGCTTGCGTATGTACCGCGTTACGTCGTCGGACACTGGTCTTCTGATCCTGGTCACGACGTCGTCTCGTAAACCTCTCGTCTGGCTCTGCTAGCCTCGAGGCTAGCCAGCTGCAGACGGTGACCAACCAGCAAGCTGCAAGTTGTGCATACCTCGATTCTGCCGGGCGGTAGGCTCAGCTGATAGACGTTCACGGCGAGTCGGTGATTCCGAAGCGCCCAGGTGACCATATCCTTACCCAGACTCGGTGGTGTATGTATGAGGTTCATCATATACACTTCGAAATGACAAGGAGTCGTTTGCGAGGGATTTCTTCGGCCCGCTAACTCCGAAGACGGCCCACCAGCAAACGCCATATGCCGTCAACTGACGAGCGCTAGAAGACAGGAAAGCCACCTCTGCGGGCCCGTCCTGGCGATACGCGAGCGCGAGGACAAGTCGTGTCGTGTGACTCAAAGTATGGGGCTGGTCCTGCGTGACAGGTCTCTGCGGGTGGATTTCGTCCCTTCAGTTGACCTACGACTGTCACGACCCACGCGATACTGACGATTTATGGGCAGTCAGAGTCTGACGTTAGATCCAGAGCCGCAGGGCATCCATAGAGAGGATAGCCAAGGGCCTGAAGCAGAACAGAACCCGGTACGGGTGAAACTGGACATCGAGCATGCAGAAGTGACCGACGATCCACGCAAATGGTCAAGAACTCGTAAAGTAAGCGTTTTGTACGTTCTATTCAGGAGGCCCCCTCATACTGACTTCGCGTGCAGTACGTCATAGTCGTCATTATATCTGTGGCGTGCATGATCAATGGGTTCGGCGCGAACATATACAATCGTAAGTCTATATGCATGCCTTCGTTCTTGGTGGGTCTCAACATAGTCGTTCCCTATCAGCCGCAATTGCACAGATAGAGTCTGATCTACATGCGACGCCCGGTCAGCTAAGTCTGACGCTCTCCCTGTTCACTGTGATCCAGGGCGGGTTTCCCATAATATGGAGCTCCATTAGTGAGATACAAGGCCGAAAGGTGTGCCTTGTCGTCTGCTCAGTGTGTATACTCACAACGACTAGGCTGTATATCTGGTATCCATATCCCTACACATGCTGGGCTGCATTGTAGCGGCTACGTCGAAGACGATCAGCGTCCTCATTGGCATGCGTTGTGTGCAGGCTGCAGGGTAAATCCATGAGTTCTTGGCGGATCTAGCCAGATTGATGAAATCACTATGCAGATCGAGTGCCGTCCTATCCATCGGTGCAGCGACGTTGGCCGATATCTTCGAGCCTGCTGAGCGAGGTACGATGATGGGGATATACTATAGGTGGGTGTAGACCTGTAACCTGCGGACTCTTGATCCCATGCTTGAACCCTTCTCAGTGCTCCTTCACTCGGTCCCTCACTCGGCCCAATTCTAGGTGGCCTACTGACTCAGGGCTTCAACTGGCGCGCAACATTTTGGTTCCTCACGATTTTCTCCGGGTTGTGCCTTGTCTCCTTCGTGTTCTTCCGCGATACCTTCCGACGGGAACGTAGCTTTGCGTATCAGATAGCGCTGAAGCGCGTGCTCGAGCGAGAGGCGAAGAAGGCCGCTGCCGGGGCTGCACGGTCCTCTGTCCCTGAGAAGACCGCAGACTCGGCCAACGTACAGACTACAGTTGTACCGGGAAGTGACCGGGACTCGGAGGGAACGGACGCTGTACAACACAGCGAGGAATCGGATGTTACTGACAGGGATGTTGAGGCACAAGCCACGTTGCCTGCGACAGCGATCTCTGAAGCCGTGAAAGAGGCCAGGCTGTCGTTGAGGGACGTGAGCCCAGTTGGTCCGATGATCCGTGTCTTCCACCGGCCGAACAATATCGTGATTTTCTGCTCCTCGGGTGAGTGAGTTGAGTTGTATGCCCTGAACCACATCTGAAGATTTGTGCGCGTTACAGCCATCCTCTTCGCCTCCAACTTCAGCCTCACGTATACCGCCGCGCGGACCTTGGCCAACGAATATCACTATGATGCTCTCGACACCGGCTTAGTTCTCTTGGCGTATGGCATAGGTGTGTGTTGCACGACTACCTTCACGACGCATACAGGTTGATGACCCAATTATCCATAGGCTGCGTATTGGGTAGCGTGCTCGGCGGCCGGTACTCGGACCACATCTTCACCAAGGTGAAAGCCAGGCATGACGGAAAGAGCCAACCGGAGGCACGCTCGTTCCACATTGTCCACCGCTGGTGGACGTGACGGTCCGAGCTCACTTCTCTGCAGATGCGCCTCCAGAGCACATTTCTGTTCATGCCGCTCCTCCCGGCTTCCATGATTGCATACGGCTGGGTGTGTGAAGAACATGTGCATGTGGCGTCCATCTGCGTGATGCTGTTCCTAGTAGGGTTCTCCCAGATGTAGGTTCCTTGTTCTATACCTGGGATGCGAACCGACTTACGCATCTTGCTTCAGATCCATCTACTCGAGCACGCTCGCATATATCGTGGATTCCAACGTCGGGCGATCTTCATCGGCGATCGCCACCAATAGCTTTGTCCGAGGACTAACGGCCTTTGTTGCTACCGAGGTTGCTGTGCCACTACAGGTGCGTCTGTGGACATTACCCGCCAGCTGTGTGGCTAGCATATAGCTGGACGATGCTAATTGGCCTTCGTAGAACGCAATGGGCGACGGCGGGTTATACTCGCTGTGGGGCGGCTTGACCCTCGTCTGCGACTTGTTGATCATCCTGGTATGGTGGAAGGGAGGCCGGTGGCGGGAGAAGGCGATCGCAAATGAGGCTCACAAGTCTGGGATGACCGAGCATGCTTGATTGTCGGCATCCCAAGCAGCCTCGCTTCCTGCAGTGCAAAAGTGACTCGACCGACGAGATACCGTCTCCGGCTCTGGATAGTAGCGCTCTAGATGATAGGATTTGACGTTCTGTTCCTCTACGAGGTAGCGGCCACTCCAAAATCGTGGCCCGGGATTCAGGCGCAGCCCTTGGTGGAGATAGGTGGAGATAACATAACTTTGGACACGCGTTGTCTCACACGGCCGGAAACCGACCCTCCCGGCGGCGGCGTCGTCAGCGCCAACGACTTAGGTAGCCTCATCACTAGCTAGGACTGTTGTGCTTGAATCCATACCAAATCCGACATCGACGCCTCTATCCCCCGAGTGTTCGCCTACTGCACCCTGTCCACATGGTAATGGCCTCACCATCGCAGATCGTAGACAGCAACGCCGTATGCTGTGAACATGCAGTCTGCCAAAGGTCGGTCAATCATATTCTACAAACCTAATCGAACACCACATCCAGAGAACCATACAAAGACGTACGCCGTCTACCACTCATAGTCGCGCAATGGAACCACCTCTTCAGATATACCGTGATCCTCCTCCCACCTGCTCTGCCACTCCGCGATCTTATCCAGCAAGGCCGCCCACTGGTTCTCCGTGCGCACGCCCCTCAGCCAGCGCGCCTCCTCGCCCTGCGCCTGTATGCGCTTCCACCCACGAAGGATCAAAAAGTTGTGCTCGCGGCCCTTCCGCCGCCAGCCCTCGACGTACGGCTTGCCGTCGTCCGGCACGGCGCCCTGCTTCTTGAGGTACTCGACGAGGTTGTCCTGGTACGTCTGCGCCTCGTTGTCGTTCTGCAGGCGGTGCCCAACGAAGTAGGGGTCGAAGCCCTTCGCGCGGAGCGCCTCCTCGCGCTCGAGGAGGTCCTGGAGCATCTCGTCGCGCGGCGGGAGCAGGGACGAGTTCGCGATCGCGTGCGCGATGAACATGCCCTGGGCATAGTCCGAGGGGCAGTTCGCGATGAGCACGGGCAGCCCGACGAACGCGAGCGCGGTGGGCGGGACGGAGGGCGCGAGGCTGAACATGTGCTGGTAGAGCGGGTAGATGTATCGCAGGTTGCTTGTGAGCTGCTGGGCGGTCGACGACGTCTCTTGTGCGTCGGGGTCGGTGACCAGCGTGGTCGCGTGCGGCGCGCTGAGGAACGGCACACGGAAGTCGTAGCCGGTGGCGAGGAAGACGGTATCGACGCACTCGACGATGGAGCCGTCGACGAACACGACGGCGTCGGGCGTGAAGTACGCGATCTCCGGCTTCTCGATCACGTCGGCCCCGGGAGTGGTTTCCTTGCCTTCTCTGACCACTTGGTACACCTGTCGGACATAGTGAGCGCCTGACCTCAAGTTGCGTAACTGCTGCTACCCACTGTCGCCAGAGGGCCCACTTGTAGAGCGATGTCCCGCCCACTCGCGCCTGTGCCGACGATAACGACTGTCTGGTTCCGGTAGCTCTCCGGATCGCGGTAGTATATCGAATGCAGGAGCTGCCGCTCTGGGAGACCAGGGCGCGGGTACGCAAGCCAGTCGTCCGTCCCGTTCCATTCCGGGACATGCGGATAGTGGTTATGGCCGTTCGCGATCACGAGGTGGTCGAAGGTGCGCTTCAGTACCACGTCTTCAGGGCTGCCGTCTACCGGAGGAGAATGCACTTCGACATGCCAATCGCCAAAATCACCGTGCCCGTGCCACTGCGTGGAGACGACGGTGTGATTGAGTTTGACATGAGGCCACAAGTCGAACTGAGTCGCGAAGTCTTCGTGATACCGGCGCATCGCGTCCCATCCCGGGTAGAGGTTGGTGCCTGGCGGGAACGGTATGTGGGGATAAGTCATGGTTGGGTGGGGCGTATTAACGTGCAGCAGCGGGTAGGTTGGTGATTCCGGAAGCTCCGGAGGTTCGGGCTCGTATCCTGGAGGGTCAGGAAGCCATACGCCGCCCAGGCCCCGATGCTGTTCGAAGAGCACGACCTCCCAGTTTTCGTTGATGTCATTTGCGACGTCCAGGATCGTCTTCAGTGCGGCGAGGCCGCCGCTCCCACCTCCTACAATAGCGATAGACTTGCTCGCCTCCGACGGCTGGTTGAGGAAGTCATTGTGCCCATAGTCCTGCAGTGGTGCTTGAGGCGCGAAGAAGTGCCTGCTAGGCGCGAGGGCGAGGTTGAGAGCTGTAGAGACGACCTGCGCTACTAGAACTGGCACAGAGAACATGGCGGTCAGTGCAGTGGTCGCGCATGAGGACGAACGTCCCGAGAGACATATTATAGAAGCAGGGCTCGGAGTCTTCGTAAGTGAAGCCAATGCATGGGCGTTGCCGCGGCCGCCTCCAGGCGTCTGTTTTCTCCCAGCGGAATCACGCCCATGAGAAGTGGTATGGCGAGATCCTCAATGTGGCTGCGCGCCGCTGGCACGCGTCGGCGCGTTCCCCGCTCCAGGCCAACAAGCCAGGGTAACTACTCTGTTTCCCTCCAAGCTGGGGGATTTGATGTGCTGCATAGTGAGGCTTTTTGGCGTCGTTGCTTCCTTTCTCCCAGCCTACCCTCTGGGAAGTGTCTGAACGTTCTCAGCCAGTTGCCAGCGGCGAACACGAGCCTTGCACGAGCCAGTATCGTTACGCCGATTTGACATACTGTGAACGCTTACCTCAGTCTTCTTGCATGCTAACGGGTCTCCGTGGCGTACTAGTGCATGCCATCGTTGATGCAATTGACATGTAACCAAGCGTGAGTACATATAACAAGCTCTCATGCTCGATGACTGGAAGTGTGGCCGCGGCGACTCGGAGACCTCGGGATTCAGGTTGATTGAAAGTAAGCTGGATGCTGGGTACTAGTACGTTCCACTGCAAAGGAAGCGTCAGCGAAGACCGATTGTGAGTGCACAGAACTTACTGGGATTTGGCATTTGCGATGGTGCTCGACAATAATGACAGAGCACGCCATCCCGGGAGCTGGTCACGGCCGGCGCCAATCACGATCTGCGCGAACATTGCAATAAGTTATTCAATAAGTACCTGCGCGCTGAGCCTCGGACATACTGTAGTCACCGTATATGCAACCCGCGAAGAATAATCGATGTTCTCTTCGTTCACTCTCATTCACTCTTCGAGACCAAACTACCTACGCGTTCTCGCAGGGATTCAACATGGCACAGAGGCCGGGTCTCTGTGATTTTATTACGTGTAGCATGGTAACCGACCTCCACTCCGAGCGACCGAGCCCTACAGGTCGTAGTATTATAAGTATAGCTATGGTCACCGCGCGCGCTATGGGCGACTAGTACTGTCACTGTCACTGGCGTTGCAACAGTACACGGTAGTACTTGACTACAACGTCCTCCCTTGCCCGCCATTTTGAGTGCCTCCAAAGAGCAAGTAGTAGTGAGCTGCATGACGAGCTGACTGGTGCATACCTAGCTCTGAATATAGTAGCAACGCAGCTCTACAATCCACTGTCATGTACGTTGCGTGATTGTTGCCGCTATAGTAGCCGCTCTAACCTCCTATGTCTTCAGCTACTAGTGGCCTTTCTGTCGCCGGACATCACTCGCCACAGCGCGCCAGTGACTACGAGATGGCTCCAAGCTTCTTGCAACTAGACCTCGATGTCATCGCGGCCATCCTGGAGCAGGTTGAGCATTCCGATGCCCTGCATCTGGCAGAGACGTGTCGTGCAGCACAAAAGGTTGCCACCCCTCGTTTCCTGTCCGAGGTCAACATAGGGCCGGACTGGCAGAAGGATGGCCGGAACCGAGTGGAGAACTTCAGCAAATACATGCTCCAGCGACCGGCCGAGCGCATACCTCACCTCAAAACCCTCATCATCAGCAGCGAAACGTTCATCATCGGGGAATCCGACCCCGAGACCGGTGAGATGTACGTGGACTTCAACTTCACGTCAGCGGTGTCTCTGGCCGCGGTCGTCCGACGCGCTTCCCGGCTGCGAAAGCTCTCCATAGGCTGCTCGGAGTTCCTCTTCGAAGGCGTCCCAGAGCTCGCCGTCGCCGTCGCGAGTATCTCGAACATCCAGGAAATGATCGTCACTCAGATGGGTATCAGAGTCGCGCGTGTGCTTTCGAGGATGAGGAGCCGGCCGCGGAGCGTCGAGTGCTCCATTCTCGAGATGCGCGACGAGCAGGAGGCCCAGCGGTACCTCGCCTTCCGGCCGGGACACGATCGCTTCCTAGACAGCCTCACGGAGTGCATGGAAATGCTCAAGCTCGAGAATATCGGAGACGTAATGGTCGATCTCGAGTTCGAGACCGTCTGGCCCCGCGTCCACGCGCTCAGTGTTACGGACACCCTCATCGTCGACCTCAACCTCTACGCCAAGGCATTCCCTAATCTGCGCCGCCTATACATCAATGCGGTCTCCGTCAACAAGTCCGTGGACGCCCGCGACGTCTGGACCCACTTGGACTTCCTCGCCCTGCATTGGCCTCGATGCCCTGTCTTCCGCCGTATTCGGTGGCTCCGCTTCAACTTCACCCTTCTCCTCGGGGGCCATTCGAGGAACGCCATGCGTTATGCTGAGTCTGATCACCTCCTGCGTGTCACGCGTCCGTCTGTCCTCGACGCGCTGGGTACGCCAGCGTTGTTCAAGTGTGTTGCAGGCACAGCGCCTTCGGTCAAATTCCTCCGTGTTTGTGTGACCGCTACATCAGTAGGGAGCGCTTCGGGGCAAATCGAGTCTCTCGATAGTTGGATCGTATGTCGGTTCCTTCGCGAATTGTGCTTGTGACCTGGCTGAACATTCACGTAGGAGAATGTCACCGCGCACCTGAAGCAGATACAGTCGCTGAGAGGCCTTGCAATCGTCTCTCAGCGTCGTACCCTCGAGCGGCGCGATGAGTACGCGCGAGGGATCCTCGCTGCGCACCCAAGTCTTGAGTATGTCGGTTTCGCAGCGTGGGACCAGGTCGAGGCTCCACTGTCGTGGGCCGATCAAGCAGTGCTCTTTACGTGGTATCATGCCTCTGCACGCCCCGAGAACGCGCCACCCGTTGTAGAGATGCTTCGAGTGGGAGCTGGGAACGCTGCCTATCAGAGCTTGCTTGATACTCCCCTATCACAGTGATGGACACTGGACGGTAGCGCTTCTGGTTAAGGCACCAAAACGTACGGCTCTTTGTCTGTTACTGCAGTGTGCACTCACTAAATGGGCGCCCTGACCCGGAATTGTAGTCCTTGGGGAGCTTCGGCCTACATACTGATGCCATTCCTTCCCTAGCACGCGAATGAACATGTAGAATAGTGTATCTCATAGCGACACATCTTGACATCCTGTAGATTTTGTATCATATGGTGGAATCACGCATGCTTTATCTCAACAGTTGAGAAGGCCGCATTAAGAGTAAGCTAGCCACCGGGGCTGAATGTAGCTGAGGTGCGTCCATGTGTGCTGCTGTCGGAGTTCGACTCAGTGTCACATCAGGTCGAAATCCGCCTCCTCGCAGACTTAGTTCATGCATCTTGCTGGGCAGAATGCTACTAGGCCTGTGCGATGTTAGTTTCTTCAACGCGCCGTCCGCCCATCTGCCCCCTTGTACAATCTGAGGAAATCAGCATAGGTATGAAATGTCGTACAGATGTCATACATGGACGTTGCCGTTACCACGGTCGATTCTTCTCGTCCTCAATATTATGCGCAATAATCTTCTCTCTAAACGCGCGCATCAACTCGGGACTCATCGTAGATGAGGTGATCTGGTAGCTGCCACCCGGGAGATGCGGCGCGGGTATCTGGATGATGCGCTCCTTGTCCGGCCGCGGCGGCTGAACGAAGGGCTCGCACAGCGAATGCTCGTCTGCGCCAGAGTAATCGGGGGCCGGTACTGCATCTGGATCCTCGGCGGCACCGGCCTTGCAGAAGGGCTTGTGACGCTTCCAATCCTGCGTCGTACGTACGGTGAGAAGCAGAAAAGATACGACGAGAACGGTACACACCTTCGTCTGGCACGTCTTGCTGCAATAGTGAGGCTTGTTGATACCCTCGCACGCCCCTGCGCACCTCTGCAGTGCCTTCTTCTTCGTTCCCAAGATGTTACATCCCGGGGCGGCGCAGCGGTACGCGTTCGGGGCTTTCGCGACCTTGCGTTCCCGCTCCTGCTGCTTCTTCTCGATGTCGCGGGCGATCGGAGCGTACATTATCCACATATGCTCGAGGCACGTAAATTGCGGCATGTATCGGAAGCCGTAGATGCGCAGCTCGTCGTCGATGTAGTTCGCGAGCTCCACGAGCGCCGCGGGTATCATCTGGAGCTTAGCACACTCGTTGACAGCCTCGGCGGCGCGCCGAAGGTCGTCAATCTGGAGTGTGTGTTGTGGTAGATGACATTTCGTGCTGTAATAGGAAGAGATGCAGGCATAGGCGGCGGAAAGGACTCGGCGGTGAGGAGGAGAAGACAAGGTAGCGCGGGTTGATGCATCGGTGATGCGCATCCACTGCTTGAGCGCAGCGTCACGGTCTTTCTCGACGCGGAAGCCGTTGTACAAGCCTATGTAAAGAATAAGTAGAAGCACTATACAGGGGATGAAACAACCAGCGTACGCATGCCCCATTCAAGTATGTCTATCGGATCTCCAGCCTCGGCACCTGCACGCACAAGACTCAACGTCTGTGGGTCATCTCGTGCGTGTGCCTGCTCTATGCTCGTGCGTACATCCTTCTCACGTTCGTAGCAGTTGAAGCAGCACCTTCGCCAAAACTTGACATAGTCAAGAAGAGGCTTATCTGGGCACCATCCGTCCTCGAAGACCAGGATCTCGAAAGGACTGTCCAGAGGCATTGTTAGTGAAATAAAACCGAAGATGAGTGCTCTTTAAAGAATGCAAGACGCGGTTGACAGGGTGCGGCACAACCGGGCCTGTCGTGAAGAAGACAGATGCGGGCGCAATGCGGGCGTCAACTTGAACGGACCACCGCGTAACGCGTTGTGCAAGATCACGTGCACTACGCGTCTGTGGCGCGAAAGACTGCGTGCAAGACTCTCCGGGCTGCGAGTCTTGCCTGCTGGCTCTCGCCAAGTACTGTCTGGGCTCCAGAATCACTGTTGTTGCCTGCGTGCCGGAATCAGTATATTGTATGTTATCCTGCTACCATCATGTTCGTTGTACTCATGTTCTCACTGATTGACGTGGCAGTCGCCGGTTACGCAAGGGGCTCACTTATCAGCCTCAGGATGGGCCGTCATGAGGAGACGTCGAATGCGTACAGCGGACCGACCCAACCAATGCTCGACTCTACCCACACTTCCCGCGCAAAGTCTCGTACTGTCATTAATGATCTTCCACCGGACGTTTTCCTCATCATCTTCCGTATGCTGTCTGGCCGTCCACCGCGTTCAACACCAATAAGATGGTCCGACTGGATTGGCTGGGAACGCATGCAACCACATACTTGGCCGGAATATCATCTTCTTAACCCCGAATATCCTTTCCCAGACTACCTCGCCTCAGTCTGTCGCCTTTGGCGAGCAGTCCTCTCGTCCGTGTCCAAGTTCTGGAAGCGCCTGATCATCCGGATTGGCAAGGACGCTACGTCACTCTCGAAGATTGGCGACTCCCTCGTATGGTCCCAGAACCGTCCCATTGACATATACATCATGCGGACATTTGACCCAAGGGTAGAGGATCCGACGGAGAGAGCTCAGGTCATGGCGGTTATGGAGGTCCTAAAACCTCATATGAAGCGATGGAGAACGCTCTGGATCAAGGTCCTCTGCTCCAGCTCGTTGCCGCTTCCTCGTGTCGACCTCATTGGACAGGCAGACGTGCTCAGGGAGCTGACGCTGGACTTTGTTATTGACGACTCTGTTGCCAGCGATGGCGCCGCTTCACCACTCGTCGGCGCGTTTCACACCCCTGCACTGGACAAGCTGTTCATGAGCGGACTACATTTCCGCGAGTTGTTCGTGAAGCCATTCCCGCAGTCGCCTCTACCACCCGCACTCAGCGAGCTCACCGTGGCTGAGTACGACTCGACGCGCCATCCACCCTTCTCGTTATTCGACCTCCTGTCGTGCCTCGTCACGGGCCACAGGCGGCTAGGTTCGATGGTGCTTGCCAATCTGGATCTCGACCACTCATATAGCGGACCGTCTATCCTCAGCTCCCACGTTAGCTGGTACGCCGACGTCGGATTCTTCGACATGAGCGGCGATGTCATCGCGGAATATCACCGGTTGCTCCGCTCTCCGTGGGCCGAGTCTGCGTACTACGTTCGGTGCACGATGGAGACGCCCTCGATACTGGGATCATGCTACTACCTGAAGATTGATGGAGTCGCAGACCCTTTGGCTCTCGCCGCTCGCGAGATTACTGATTGGCGTGCACGGCCGGACCTCGTCTCGCCACGCATGTCTCAGGCAATGCGACGGTCTGAGCCCCGCTGTGCTGTTGTTGCTCGCGGTGACGATCCTCCCTGGAGACAACTGGATTTTGCCGGACCTGCGCGGGCTCACCATCGAAGGCTGCACAGGTTTCCAAAGCCCGGACTTGCGCCTCTTTCTCGAGCACCGCCGCAGGGCACATGCGGTGACCGGCTTCGCAGAAGACGGCGATCTGGAGTATGTCATGTCCTCGGTGAAGTATCTCCACGTGCAAGATTGTTGTGAGCTTGCACCAGCGGATAAGGAATGGCTTGACGAGAACCTTGATGAAGTTCATTGGGACGATTGGAGTGGGGGAACTGGTGCGTCTGTGTGGATCTGCTAAGCCGCACGATTTTGTGAGCCTTGGGCGGTATTGCGATATAACCGTGTCAATACTATCCGTTCTAAGAATCGTACAACAGAGGAAGGTCATGTCCTTGTGCATTCGTATGCATCGTTAACCAGTTGAGTATATCAATCACTATTCTTGAGCGCTTGAGCTCTCGTCATTCGATGATGAGTCTGTGCGGGATGACTTAGGCACACAGTACATAGATACCTTCGCCAATTCAGCTGCCCAGTATGCTGTTCTTGTCCAAATGGCTTAAGTCGATAGACCAGACATTCAGCCTGAGGTAAGCACAGACACTGACCCACGTATAAATATGAGCTAGTGAAGGCCTACACAGTCTACACTGTGCCAACCGCTCATGTACTTCCCACGGACTGCCCCTTGAATCTGGACCTGATCTGGACGATCGTTGCTCTACTGTCTACATAAGTCGCTTTGCCCTCCTCCTCCCCTTCTGCTTGCTTCCAGAGGGCCGCATATAGATGTTCGTGGTGTCGTTTCGCATGCATATCTATTGACTCTGTTCACTGAGATAAATTCGCAGTTCAGGCAGCGCAACATGGACGCGAGCAATGACCAATCGGTTGCTTCAACTGCTGCCACAAACCAGCATCGGTCGCATGTGTCCATTGATGACCTTCCCCCGGATGTGCTCCTCGTTATCTTTCGCGAAGTGCTCCTCACTGTGCGGCAACCTACCTTTGAAGGATTCTTCCCAGTAGGCTGGAACGATCAGCACCTGGACCCTTGGCCGTCGTACCACAACTTAATGTCACCTCATCCGTTCCCGGAGTCGATCGCTTCTGTGTGTCGCCATTGGCGAGGGGTCATGTCGACCGTGGCCTTCTTCTGGACGCGCCTGGTGATCTGGGTCGGCAGGGACCCCACTCCCCTCTCAACCGTATGCGACTACATCGCTTGGTCGCAGAACAGCCCTCTGGATATTCATGTCCTATGCACGCCCGAGGAATCTATCGAGCACCACACTACGGAGAAGGCGCAGGTACAAGCCGTCATGGAGACGCTCACTCCCCACATGAAGCGTTGGAGAGTCCTCCACATGCAGCTGTTCTTCGCAAGCTCGCTCCCGCGCCCTCGCATCGACCTCGTTGGCCGAGCCAGCAAACTCGTCGAACTCGAACTCCTATCCACTGTCGATGACTGCGTAGCGAGCGCTGAGGAGGCTCCCCCTATCGTTGGCGAGTTCCAAACGCCCGCGCTGGACGTTCTTGAGCTGAGCGGCTTGCAGTTTCGCGAATCGTACGTGAAGCCGTTCCCGCAGCTGCCAATGCCACCCATACTGTCCTACGTCATCGTCTCAGATTACGGCTCACAATATACCCCGTTTCCACTGGTGGACCTCCTCAGATGCCTCGTCAGCTGCAAGGGACTGCAACACGTCGAGTTCGCGAATCTTCATCTTGATTGCTCCTACAACGGACCTCCTCTCGTGCAACACGGGATCACCTGGGACGCCGAAGTCGTCGACTTTCTCGACATGCGCGGCGACGTCATCGCGCATTACAACCGCCTTCTCGGCTACCCCTACGTCGAGGCGGTCTCGTACACGCGCTGCTCGATGGAGGTCCCCTGTATGCTCGGCAACTCGTACTACACCAGACTGACGGAAATCGCAACCTCGAGGGCGCTTTTCAGCTTCCTCGCAGCCGGGCGTGGCCCGTTCTCGTGCCGCGACGTGACACTGACGAACTGCGACGGCCTGCGCCCGGAAGTGCTGCACATGCTCGGACTGACTACGGATGGCGTCTGGCTCTGCCCGTACATCAAGTCGCTGACCATCGTCGGGTGCAAGCAGTTCCACAGCCCGGCATTGCGATTCCTCCTCGAGGGGCGGCGTAGGGTACACGAGGCGACGGGCTTTCCGGAGGATATCGACCCGCAGTACGTGGTTGGATCGATCGAGGACCTCGACGTGAAAGACTGCTGCGAGCTCACCCCGGAGGACAAAGCCTGGCTTGATGCGAATGTTTCGAACGTCCGCTGGGATGATTGGTCGGGAGGTTATAGCTCAAGGAGGTCACGGTGAACGCTCTACCAGTGGCATTAGTGGATATTGCGTGTCGCGTTGCCGTGGCGGTATCCCTTGCTCGGAGAGCAAGGCTCTCGCAGGTCGAAATGAACGCTACCCCTTTCGACCGTTGTTGTTTGTTGTTTGCATTCCTCGCCATACCAGTCTTAGTGTGCCTTGTGTCGTCATCATCGTCCAACCTGACACCTCACGCGACCTGCGTCTCATCCTGCTCGTACTTAGCTGCACCATGACTTGCTTGACTGAATGATTTCGGCCCGCCTCAGCAGTGGAGAGTCGGTCGAGCATCATGCAAAAATGCACAAGTGAACGTTTGATGTCCGTGCGTTCGACCCGCGAGAAAGTGGCGCGCCGCGATGCCTCCTCAACTTACGTCGATCTGCCGCGGGGCAGCAGTTGAGTGCGGGGGTGCGGATGCGCACGGGCAAGAGTTTCGGCTCCATATGATGCACGACCAATATGGGAACGCATTCACAACAACGCAAGAAACGAAGAACAAAAGCAAGACTCGTACGCTCCTGTACGCTCACGCGAAACATCCGAGCAAGGCTGGCACGCCATCGCTGGCGGCATTTCGAGTAACATATGAATCGAGATGTCCGACGTGCGAATGTTCATTTCACCTTACATGAGCGCAGCAGAAGCTTGAAAGTGCACTACGCCATGCAATGTGCTCAGGCGCCCCCCAAGGCCTGGGCCTGCCCGACGCGTGACATAACGCGTCAATCACGGTCACGCGTGCGCCCCGATGGTCACGGAAGAATGCGAGCGCCGAGCTGCACCATTTACTCTCCTTTTACTCTCTTCGTCGCACGCGAAGGCCATGCCACTCGCTTCTCCTGCTTCTTAATCTCGCCCACTCCGAATCCAACAAAGGCCTCAGGCCTCAGGCCTCAAGGCCCAATTCCGAATTGCGGCTCATACTAGCTCATACTTACCTGGCCGGCCGGGCTCTCACGCCGCACGCCTGCTGCCACCACCCATGGATCCGCTTCCCTCTTCACCTGCACGCCCGTCCTCGCCAGAGCCCACCCTTCACGCAGAGGTACCCGCATGCAAGTCGCAGGCAGAGGAGACTGCCAGGACCGAGCACGACCATCATGACGGAACGTCGGAGCGCGCATCCTGCGCAGAGTCGCCAGACCCGACGGCGGAGGGTGACACTACACAAAGGAGGTCGCAGAAGGGGATTCGCCAGCTCGCGCAAAAGTTCAATCCTTCGTTGACGTTGGAAAACTCCGGCAGCGTCGCCCGAGACCACCTCGCCTCCGAGCGCACTTTTCTCGCATATGTGCGGACGAGTCTCACTATAGCCTCCATGGGAGTCGGTACGTCTTCGAACGTTCTTTGCCTCTGCTGACACCGCCTGAGCGTCCGATACAGCGCTGGTGCAGCTTTTCACAATCGCGGGGGATAAAAACCAGCAGCTGACAAGATACTCGCGGCCGCTCGGAGCGACCATCATCATCGTTGGCTTGTGCACGCTCTTCCTCGGCGTCGCGCGCTATTTCACAGTGCAATATGCGCTCGTGGTTGGCATGTTCCCCGTTGCAAGAGTCAGCACAATCCTGGTCGCCGTCGCGTTGTGCGCTATCATCACATCCATCTTTGGCATCTTGCTGGCGACTAGAGATTGACCGTCGGACGGGTAGAGACTGACCGTCGGATAGGGGTAGACGACGAAGCATGTACGGACTTTCACGACCTCAACGACATACGACTTGGTCCACTTTTGTAGACATGGCTAGATTGTTTCGGTATGGTCCTCCCGCTGACTGGGGAGAGGTCATCGAACACGGGACGAGCAACGCCAGTGTGGTATGAGTACATACAATGCATTGGGTGTTTGGCGGGAAGTCGCTCCCATGAGTGAGGAACACAACTTTACCAGACGCGTCAATCATGACGCCACAGGCTTGATACCGGCTTCCTTGAGTTTCGCAATCAACTCGTCCACACTCGCGACCTGCAAAGCGCCAGGCGTGAGTATGCTACCCAGCTCAACAGCCATTCATCCGCACCTTTGCTCCGCCTTGTCTCTTCGCCGGCTCTGTGACCTTCAATGTCTCGAGGCGAGGCGTGAGATCGACTTGAAGATACTCAGGGGAGAGCTTCACGATCTGCTTCTTCTTAGCCTTCATAATGTTAGGCAACGAGGCATAGCGTGGTTCTACGCTCGCAGTTAATCGGCGTCCGCTTCCGAATGACGTTATTTCACGTACCATTCAACCTACGGGATGCCCCGCTCAGCTCAGGGAGTCCTCGAGGCAAATACTGGTACTCACCGGAGATCCGTCGTAACCACCAAGGGCAAGCGGCACCGCAGCTCCTCCAGACCACCGTCTATCTCCCTCGTCACGCTCGCCTCTTTCTTCTCCGTGTCCACCTCTACCTTGCTCGCGAATGTCGCCTGCGCCCAGTCCATCAGCCCCGCGAGCATCTGGCCCGTCTGGCCCGCATCGTCGTCGATCGCCTGCTTGCCCATGATGACGAGGTCGACGCCGTCCTGCTCGTGCGCAATAACCGCGCGCAGCGCCTTCGCGATACCGAGCGGCTCCGGCGGCGGTGCACCCTCCGCGAGCTCAACGTGGATGCCCGAGTCCGCGCCCATCGCGAGCGCGGTGCGCAGCGTCTCGAGCGACTTGGGCGGCCCGATGGTCACGACCTTGATAGACTTGACTTTGTCCTTGAGTCGTTCGCGCAGCTTGACGGCCTCTTCGACCGCTGAGCAGGAGATTAGTATCACATGTCTGACGTGCCCTTGGTGCCGGACGGAGGACTAGCACGAACCGATCTCGTCGAAAGGGTTCTGGAGCAGCAAAGAGATGAACAACGCGGTCATAAGGACATGCGCATACGCACCATGGAATGCTTAACATTGAGGTCGATGCCCTTCTGGTCAGGGTTGACTCGGATCTTGACCGCATAGTCTACTGTCCTGCATTGAGTTCAGACCCGACCCTTGGGGGACGCCGCACCGTACTTGCCTCTTGATTGGGACCAGGATGTTCAGCAGACGCGCCGCGGTTGGCCTCATCGTGGTAGGAGCAGAAGAGGGTCAACCTGTGGGCCGGCGTCGTCAGTCGCCGATCTCATGACTTGAGCCCGTCCGCGGTGGTTCCGCTCCCGCTCCGCACTGCAGTGTCAGTGCAACCGAATACATGAGAATCATAAGGCTGCGTCAAATAGGTACGATGCATGCTGCAGTCGTTTTAAATCTCCAAGGAAACGAACCGGGGTTCAGGACCGGAGGGGAGGAGTACGGCGACAGCGCCTGCAGCCACCACTTGCACGGGATTCCGGACAACGAGAGCGGGATCTCCGGGGACAACATAGCCGCAACATGGACGTGTCTTGAGTTCACTGACCTGAGCGAGGAGCACGCCGACAAACAAGTAGACTAGAGACAGAGCGATTGAGCACAGGCACTCGAGCGTCGAGCAGGTCGCGTCCAGTAGCTGCCAATGAGCGCCTGTGACGCGAAGCGCGCATCGCGTGAATGTGGGTCGGACTGTGAAATCGACGCGTGCCGTTCGAAACACCGAAGGGAGGCAATTGGGACGGAGCTGGAAAACCAGCGATGACCGAATTCGCCCGAGGCCGCCGTTAACAGTGACGAACTCTTCTTCCACGACGACCTTGATGGTTTCAAGAACGCTTACCGCCTCTCTCGGGCGTGCTCTTCGTAGCGCGGCGCGGCCACAGGTACGTGCTCAAGGGAACATTATTTGCCTGGTCGTGCGCTGACATTCTGCAGCGATCGCTACGCTCGTTCGCGACGGCGGTCAACGTCCCCAGTCCCGCAACCGAGACCACCACGCTCTCTAATGGCCTGACTGTCGCGACGGAGTCGAGCCCACATGCGCAGACCGCAACCGTCGGTGTCTGGATAGATGCTGGCTCGCGGGCGGAGACGGACAGGACAAACGGCACCGCGCACTTCCTCGAGCACATGGCTTTCAAGGGCACGAACCGCCGCAGCCAGCACGCACTCGAGCTGGAGGTGGAGAACTTTGGCGCGCACCTCAACGCGTACACCTCGCGCGAGCAGACGGTGTACTATGCGAAGAGCTTCCGCAAGGACGTGCCCGCCGCGGTGGACATCATCAGCGACATCCTCCAGAACTCGAAGCTCGAGAACTCGGCCATCGAGCGGGAGCGCGATGTCATTCTACGGGAGCAGCAGGAGGTCGACAAGCAGATGGAGGAGGTCGTCTTCGACCACCTACACTCCGTTGCCTTTGCAGGTGTGTAATGCGCTGCACCTTGGGTGCCCCCGGATAGCGGACTTACTCGGTGTAGGTCAACCCCTCGGACGGACAATTCTCGGCCCTAAGGCCAACATTCTGTCCATCAGCCGGGACGACCTGGCGTCGTACATCAATACTAACTACACTGCCGACCGTATGGTGCTCGTCGGCACCGGTGGTGTCGACCACCAGGAGCTAGTCAAGCTCGCCGAGAAGCATTTCTCTTCCCTCCCCGTCTCCTCCAACCCCATCCCGCTCGGCCGCCTTGCCCACCCGAAGACGAAGTTCGTTGGACAGGAAGTGCGCATCCGTGATGACGAGCAGCCCACCGCGCACGTCGCCATTGCTGTTGAGGGTGTCAGCTGGAGCTCGCCCGACTACTTCCCTATGCTCGTCATGCAGTCCATCATGGGTAACTGGGACAGGTCACTCGGCGCAGCGGGTCTCATGTCCTCGCGGTTGTCGCACATCATCTCGGGCAACAACCTCGCGAACAGCTTCATGTCCTTCTCGACATCTTACTCCGACACCGGTCTCTGGGGTATCTACCTTGTGACCGAGAACGTCATGAACATGGACGACATGGTGCACTTCACCCTCAAGGAGTGGACGCGTTTGTCCATTGGCCCGACGGACGTTGAGGTTGAGCGCGCAAAGAGCCAGCTCAAGGCTAGCTTGCTCCTCAGCCTGGACGGCACGACCGCGGTTGCGGAGGATATTGGCAGGCAGCTTGTCACGAGCGGTCGTCGCATGACGCCCAAGCAGCTCGAGCAGGCCGTCGACGCGGTCACGCCTGCGGAGATTAAGCGGGTAGCGCAGAAGTACCTCTGGGACAAGGATGTAAGTGCTTCTGAATATCCACAGGCTTGCAGATGCTGACGGACGTGTATAGATCGCCATTACTGCTACCGGTCCGATTGAGGGTCTCTTGGACTACAACCGTATCCGTGCGGACATGTCGTCGTTGCTGTACTAGACGGGGAGGGCAAGGTAACCGTTAGTGCTCGTTGTTGGCAGTAGCACGTTCTGACAGCTAGCTTAGGACAGTCGATGGATAGAGTAAAAGTAGTCGCTGCTTCCGCTGCTTGTCGTGTAGATAGGACAGTAGGAATAATCTCTCATGAACTCAGTTCATTGTGCGATGAAGCGATGAACGCAGACAGCGAGGAGTTGCAAGGCCTGAATAACCTGCATACGCGTATTCTAAGCTCCATTAAGCGTTGGACGCAGCTGTCCGTGATATAGTATACAGTACAATTACAAGCCTTCATTACAAGCCTTCATCGTACAACTTTCTGCAGAGTGCAATGTAGAATCGCTCCAAGTCCATCTTTGTCGCCAACTCGCTCCGCTCCGCCTGCTTCCTGTTCCTCTCCTGACTTGGGCTGCTGGGCGTCGCGGGCGCACTTTTGTTTGGTGAGGGCCTCGATGATGGTGCCAGAGCAGCGATGGTCTTTGGCGAGGGGACCTGCTCGACAAGCCAATCGAAGACGGCCGACAACTTGTCCGTGGACGACTTCACCACCTCGTCTGCATGTTCCTTGTCCCCGAGGCTTTCCGCTCTCCTCTTGCCATCTGCCCTTCTCCGCTGCTGTTGCTCACTGATCCCCGCACCAACGCTCTTCGCCGCATCCCGCTCCTCGTTCTTCCACGCCCTCACAAACTTGCTCCAGTCCGCCAGGCTCCACCCGTCCCCGTCCTCCTTGCGACCATCGTTCCTCGACCTCCCACCAAGCCCCGGCACGGTCAGCGACGGCAAGTCAACCTCAATCCCCCTCGCTCCGCGCAGGTCCCAGTGGTCGCAGCCCTCCAGCACGCCAAGGAACTCGCCCCACCGCGCACTCTGCACGGTCACAAGCCCGTCGTTGCCCCACTCCTCGTCGCGCCGCCAGAGCGGGTTGCCCTCCTCGCGGAGGCGCTCGCGCTCCCTCTCTTCGAATCCCTCGAGCACCATCTTGGGGAGCCAGAGCGGGTGCCAGACGTTCGTGCTCGCCATGCGCCCCGCGACGCTGAAGTACTTGACGGATGGGTGGTCCGGCGTCGCGGGGTTAAAGATCGTGTTCAGGTAGGTGGAAGTGAGGTTCGCGTACGCGGGCGAGTCGAGCACGGAGAGGAGGAGCGTCGTGAAGGAGGAAGGGAGCGAGGCGAGGGAGAGCGCGGACTTGGGAGAGCGCGGGTTGCTGGATGCACGGACATCGTGGGAGGTGGGGCTGGACGGGCTTCCGGCATCGTCCTCTGCCAGACGTCTCCCTGCTTCCTCGGCCTGCTCCTTCTGGCGTAGACGACCGATACCGATGTTCTCCTAGTCGGGACGTTAACAAGAGGAGTACACTGAATAGCATCACGAAGACTCACCCTGCACCAGTCCATAAATGGGCTACCACAATGGGGCGTAGCGATGGTCGTCAGCGAAAGTGGGGTGTACTCCGTGGGCCGGATGTTGGAAATGAGATGTCGACAGTCTAGTCCGCCCATAGAGTGCGCCATGAAGTTAATACCTCTCCCAGGGGCCTTCTCTCGCAAGAAGCGATCCAAACTTTGAGCCCGCGAAGCCACCGATCCAGTACTTCACGTGAAGACCAAACACAAATTAACCTTATACTTGTGTATAAGGAGCGTGCCCGTACTCACCTTGGCACAGAAGTAACAATTACCTCAGCTCCTAGTTTGTCCCTTATAATGCTCAATACGTTGGACCAATAGTGCATTTGGAGGATGGGGAACGTCGAAGGCCCTCGCACGTCAAAGCCGTACAGACCTGCACATCATCTGGTGTGAGAGCAGCGTCCAACGCGGACGTGAACCAACTCACCATGGCAGAGAGCGATCGGGTTTCTAGGCTTCCTGACAGGGTCATATAGCACAGGGCTGTGGATGAGCTGGTGGATCGTGTCCTTGGGTGGTGCATTTCGTTGTGGGCTATGGTCCGGTGTCTCGCGGTCCACATCCGCTGCATCCGAGTGTCCTGACATTCGCTCAACACCTACGTCTAACTGTAATCGTGCGGTCGAAGGAAACCCCCGATCCGCGGTCGCCCAGGATGGCCAGCGTGTGGCGTTGAAGCCCTCCCAGAGCCTCAGTCGGTCTTCGGCCGAGTTCGTGCCATCCACCCCAGGCTGTAGGCGCGGAAGAAGGTAGTGTTGCGAGATCGACAGTGAAGAGACGACGTTCACGACGCGCCGGAAGAGTAGAGCGACATTGGCCGGTAGCCAGAGTGGGTGCATGTCGAGTGGGACGAAGAGAGCGCGTCCGAAGTCGAGAGACTCGACGAGGAGGCCGTCGGAATCATAGTGATCCACTCTCGCATGTGCTGCCGCCCAATGATTCTCCCCAATTCCCCAATTCTGGGGATATGGGGCTGATTACATAGGGCCCTTTGTGGGAATACTGATGTTAGTATAGTATTCCTACTAGGCTATCTAATCACTTTCATACTGGCGACTCCGGGATTGTCGGGTGGCGGAGAGAAGCCACCCACTGACCAGACTCGAGCATCCAACCGACATCCGCAGGCGTTCTCGTGTACGAGAGTCAACCTATATCTGGACGGAACATACAAGTTGATCTTCATGTCGGACTTGCCTTCGCTTCCTCGCCTTAACCGGAACGGACATGCTAAGCTCGCGCAGCTCTGTCTGTCTGGGTTGCCATTCTCTCAGGTGGAGGTAGATTCCTCACGGTACACCTCCAATAACATCTTTGGCGGAACTATAGCTCACCGAGTAAACAGACTGGCCGTCGTATTCTACTGTCTGGGGACGCTCGACCTGCTAGGCGTCCTTGAGTCCAAAGTGCCAGAAGCAGCGCGTCCGCGCTGGCGAGAGTGGTTCTGGGAGCAACAGACATGTCCGTAGCTCCTCTCCTCCTCGTATCGTCAAAGGGCCCACGGTGATCGCAGACGGGAAGTATGGCACTGGATTCCGACCGGGCCCCTACATGACCCCAGAACACAACGAAGTATGTCTAGCTAGCTCGTCCTTCTAAAAACACACTTTTGACATTCTGCGACAGGCGGATCCGAATCATGGTGAATACGATGTCCCGCATCTCATCATGACGTACACAGCCCTGCTTTCGCTCGCAATTCTCCGGGACGACTTCAGCAAGCTCGATCGCCCGGGAATCCTCCATTTTGTACGATCTTGCCAGCAAGAAGACGGAAGGTTGGCCCTGTTCGCACTCGCTAGATGATCTTGAGCCTGAGGCGTATCTCTATAGCTTCTCAGCACTACCCAACGGGGGCGAAGCCGATCTGCGCACAACATATTGTGCAATCGTGATCTGCAGCCTCCTCGACGATTGGTCCGGGATGGATCTCGAGCGCGCCATCACATACATCCAGCGATGTAGCGTGCGTCCATCGCCCTACCACGCAACTCCAAAGGCTGACCCCAAACACAGAGTCACGAAGGCGGCTACGGTCAAACGCCCGACGGCGAAGCCCTAGGTACGCCCCATAACCCCACCAAGCTCACTAGCGCACTCACATCGCTCTCAGGAGGTACTACATACTGCGCCCTAGCCTCTCTCAAACTCGCCCCCGCAACAACAACCTCACATTGGGAAACACGCATCACCCCCGCCGAACGCGCACGCACGATCAGATGGCTCGCCGCGAACCAGCTGTCTTCAGGCGGGTTCTGCGGGCGGACGAACAAGGTCGCCGATGCGTGCTACTGTTTCTGGTGTGGCGCCTCTCTCGACGTGCGTATCACCATACATATCTGTAGCTCAAGCTGTTGTGACAAAATGTGCGTAGATGCTCGGTGCGGGCGACGTCGTCGACCGGACCGCGCTAGCTACGTTCATGAGCCAATGTCAATTCAAGTTCGGTGGGATCGCGAAGGCGCCTGGTGAACGCGCAGGTAAGCACGGCAGATCTATCAAGGCTCGTCGCACGATCGGTGACCCTTTCGCAGATCCCTACCATACCTACCTTTCCCTCGCAGCACTTGCGGTCTTCCAGCCGCCGGACGCGGACGAAAGTTGGCAGCTCCCACAGTTGGACCCGCTCTGGAACGCGACACTCGACACAGCGCGTTGGGCGCGGGAGCACATCCCGGCGCGTAGATCGCCCTCATAGAGCTCTAGATGATTTCTATTTCAAAGCTTCCGCGGCGCAGATGCTAGATTGTACATATCGGTACACTTTGCTACAGATAAAACACCATCTGCTCATGTACCTTCCGCAAGCAGCAACAGTCACAGACTACTCGTACAACTATACTACAGCGCGTCAGTACATCGGATCTGGTATTGACGACGCCTCCGAATCTGAAGGAGAATGCGCTATGTCTTCTTCCGCTTCTTGACCATGTCGCTATATGAGAGGGGTGCGGGCCGGGTCTGCTTCGTTGGAGGACGGTGCGCGGGTATCACTTCGTCTGTTGAATCCGAATCCCGCAATGGGTGTCTTGGGGCGGGAGGACTCGCAGAGGCCCGCTCTACGTCGTCAGTCTCCGGGTCCTCAATGGATTTGTCATGCTCTCGCTCTGAGGAAGGTCCAGCCTTCACCCATCCATCAACGCGCACGCCGATCTCCTGCGGATCGCCATCCAGATCAGATCGATACTCTTGACCCGCGCACAAGCTTACCTTCACATACACCCTGACGTCCTCCTCTGAGAACGCCTCCCCGAGCACGCTCGTGCCCGCAGGCACACGTTCAGAGCGGAACTTGAGCACGCTCATGAGCAGCAGGAGCGCGCGCCCGTCGTACAGCGCCGCATCCGCGTTGGACACGATCGCGTGGACGGCCTGGACCTGCTCGAGCATCGCGAGCTTGCGGACGAGCAGCGCGAGGCAGTGGTGCACCGCGCTCGCCGGGAGGAGCTGCTGTGCGGAGGCGGCGCCGACGAATGACGCGACGGCGAAGGCGATGTCGAAGAGCCGGAAGGTGTCCCCCCAGAACTCGTAGCGGAGGGTGGCGACGGAGGTGGGGAAGTCCTGCAGACGACCAACGACCGTCGGGCTGAGGACGGGTCCGGAAAGGTGATACACGGAAAGGAGCACTCACCATGTCCCACCAGACAGCGAACTCAGTGAGCACACACTCGCGCAGGAGGTCCTTGAACGTGTCTGCCGCCGCCGCTCCGACGTCCGCCGCGAGGCTCCTCGCGAGGTCGCGCGCGAACGGCGCGAGGACCGCGAGTTCTTCGCCGTACCCCTCTGAGATGCGGTCGGTGACCTTGTTCGCGAGTTCCACGAGGGCGTCCACATCCCATGAACCGAGCGCTACAACATCCTGCGCATACATGCGACGCGCCTTGGGGTCGACCGTGATGCACCCGCGGCGGAACGCGCTGAGCCAGGACTGTTTGACCTGCAGGAAGGCTGGCTCGGCCTTCTCGTACGAGACGTCGGGGTCGGGGTATATGAAGTCGTCGTCGGCGTCCAGGGGTCGGAACGCGGCGGGCACGAAGGGCGAGGCATCGAGGTTGAGGCTAGGCGGGGACCCGGAGATGTTGCGCATGTGCGCACGGCGTGCCTGCTCAGCGAACTGATGCAGCCATTCGGAATGCGAGAGAGCCTTGCGCTCGGTCGAGTGTGTGGCGTCGCGCTCTGACTCGTGTGCAGGCGAAGTGAGGAGCTTGAGGGCGTTGGGGTCGGACTTGGCGCAGCTATAGGTGTCGTCCTCGTCGAGTGTGAAGCTGCTGCTGGAAGCGGAGGAGGAAGGTGTGGACGGTGGTGGGAAACGCGTGGGCTGGCTGACAGGCGTGAACCAGGGGTTGCTCTTTGTGTAGACTGAGTCAGGGGAGTGCTCCTGCAGAGCAGGGGGTGAAGGGGGGCGGGTTGCATCGTCTGAAGCCATCCTCGCCTACCGCTTCAGTGAGCACTCATACACGTTAGGGGGTGTAGGGTGGGCGAGAGGAAGAAGGGGCACGGCTGTGCCGCTCAAGCGCACGGACGCACCTATTATACGCAGCAAAGTTGCCTTGCTTTGACAGTGGAGTGGCTCACAAAGGCGTTTCGCACAATCAAGTTAAGCTCTGGCAGCACGTTGTCGAATAGGAGAGTCGCGCGTCGCACGAGGGGCACCAACCAGACAAAGCGACACAAAGACTCGCGCGTGGGCGCCAGGCACTAGTACAACGAGCCCCTACACAGATAAGCAGTCGATTTGGGTCTTCCCGACAACCTTCATGGGCAGTTCCGAGTGGCCAGTCGAGCGAGCGAGTCGTCTAGATAGTGTGCGATGTCGACATCGTGGACGTCGCTGAGGACGCTTCCCAGAGCAGTTCCCGAGCTGACACCAGAGCTCGACAGACTCTGCAACAAGTCATCCAGTGCACGTCTTGCGCGATTCCGCGCGTTGCCGTCAGTTCATCGCGCGTATTTAGTGCTGCTTCGAGGCCCAAAGCCACAATGTCCTGTCAGATGTGGTCGCCATTGGATAGTAGTGGTGACAGTACTTCCGAGTCTACAGACGGGCGCTCCGTCTCACTTACCGTATACGTTGAGCGCTTAAAGCTTCGTCCTCACAGATTTCTGTATAGCGAGAGAACGGAGTTGTTCAGCAAAGACAAAGGTGGCCCTCTGTATACAGTGGACTTGAGTCGGACAGAATGCAGCTCTTCAGAAGCCACAGCAGATTTCGAATTGAATCAAGGTACAGTAAGTAGAGGCACAACGAACTCGAGCGCCGGCATACTACTCTACTGACGACTTCGGAAGGTGCCCCTCCCTGAGAGGAAGGTCTAGTACGCCAAAGTCATGAGGCACCCGCCGGGGTGGGGTCCTTGTCACTGTCAGAAACCCATCATATCGTCTCCGTAAAACGGCTACTTAGCTTGATATGTGGTTAGTAAGTACTAGTTGGACAGAACGTTGTCGGTGCATTTCCAAGTGCGTTGATCTCAGCGACGCGGCAGAAGGTACATGTTCCGAAACTGAACGCGCGCAGCTTCATCCCATCCTGACCGAAGCATGGCTGTGAAGACATGAGTAGCACACGAGATACACAATGCGGAGCGGCTGGCGACATCGAAACCCGCGACAAAGTGCTATGTCACGCACAGTAAACCATTGACACTAGTACATGTAGTACGATTATAAGCATAGTGCAGTATCATTAAGGCCTCTCCGAGGCAGCAGTAATTCAGAGCAGGCACAATCCAGTCGCCGTGGAGTCTAAATATCCTCCAGAACAGCAAATACCACAACTTCGCGACTTCCGCATCGCCCCCTAGACAATTGGCAGACTAGCAGAGACCGACTGTGGAGGTATTATAGAGACGCCGCTATTTGGCTGCTCTACTTGTCCAGGTGGGTGCATCGATGAAGTCGATACTTTCCACGCTCTCGACGCTGTCTATACTAGATCGCTGTGGATAGATATGAGCATATGATCGTGCAAGAGCAAGCGTGTCCAGCGTACAGATGAGCGTGTGGAGAAGTCCTGAAGAGGGACATCCATCGTCTCCTGCTTTGGTTCCGGCGGGACCATCGGGGTATTCAACAGAACGTGAAGGGTCGTCAACAACGAAGTCGAGAATGGCATGATCGTGAGGTGGGTCGTGAGATGGGTCGTGAACGCGGCGTCGTTGGGTGTGGATGCGGTGGGATAGTCATATCCGCGCGGGGACGGGTGTCTTATAGCTACAATTAGGCTTCCGTCAGCAGACACACATGGAGCGCAAGTCGAGGCGGCCGAGCGCGCTAGTCTCGATTCAGACGTTATAGCAGTGTCACGTGTGCCTGTCAGCGGAGATCGAAAAACCCATACCACAGCCACTGCTATAACGTCTGGTCATTTTCGTAGAGAGGGGTGGGGGTCACTCGGCCCCGTGACGAAACGCGCCGCGAGAGAGGCGGCGGCGGGGGGCGCAGCGCAACGTTACTCGTCTCTGTCGCGCCGACGGTCGAAGTACATACCGTGACTTGCTCTACTGTGCTCGCTAACCTCAGCAATGCTACCAAATTACTACCGCGGCTCTGACGCTACACCAGCCGCTGGTCTCACAAACTCAATGTCAGGGCAACTCTCGCTGTTAACGGGATACTGAACATCACACACGCCCATGCTCACGCATCTCGTCGCTCTGACTCCGCGAAGGCCGACGAGAATGGCATGACTCCGTACGACTGGACCGCAGGTCAACGTTACGGAGGCGATCAATTTTGGGCTCGACTGCATCGTAATTGCGGGAACTGGCGCCGGGAAGATGATGCCTCTCGCAATGCTACTGGCACTGTTGGGGGCCTAGACAAAGCACGAAATAATGCTTGTTTTATCACCGCTTCACGAGCTCGACCTCGATCAGGTAAGCACACTGTGAAGTTTAAACCATGATAATAACCCCTCCACGCTCACAATCATCTCAAAATCGTCTACGGCGCCCGCTAGTCACGTCGGGCAGGGCAGCCTCAAATCTCGACACGGGCTTCCTGGACGTTTCTGTTGACGTTGTATGTGGACATGTGCTTTCCGTTGCAGGGCTCGTACGGAGGTCTTCGCGCGGCGAGGTTGCAGAAGGGCGTCGAGCAGCGCGAACTGTGGAGCACATGGACCCTGTGGGTTATCTTGATATACTACGCGGATTGGTCGCGGTTGATTTGCGCCACACGCACCGTTTCCCGCGTCTAGTAGGGCGCTCAACCTCGCTCCCCGCCACCGGCGCGTTCATGTTTTAAACCTCCTTTGCCTAGCTTTCTACAGGTGTGGGCTGTGAGCATGGCAGGAAAATTTTAGCACTCACTCAGAATTTCATAAAGATGCATGTGAGGACACCCAAAGGCCTACGAAGGCCGAGGGAGACTCTTTCTGAGGAGAGCAAATAGAGCCAAACATGTGCAATGCACGGTCACGCTTGTCACGGCCAAAGCTCTCCCCGGTGGCTGGGCACATGCTTTGACCTCGTACATTGACCTCTCATTCAACGCCAACAATCATGTGTATTGAGAGTCTTTTTAATTGTACATTGATGTTGCATTGATGTCATATTTGCGGCAATCCACAATTACTGTGAAGACCGCATCACAGTGGCTCGCCAGCCTCTTAGCGCCCGTGACCTCCGAGAGGGACTCATCGAATTAATCCGCACACTGCGAGTATGCAGCTGGACATGGGCAAACAGAGACCTATACACCTTCCATTGCGTTTCTAGGTGCTTAAGTATCTCCTACTAACTCGCGAGAAGGCCGTGGCGTTCAATTCGAACCGCTTTGGCCCTCTCAGTCGTGTGAAGAGCGTAGCGCTAGCGCGCATGCAACGCACAATTGAACCGCGACCAATCCGCGTACGTTACTTGATGGGCTGTATCAGAGTCTACTGCGTTTGCAGGGTACAGAAGAACTCACCCTACGTTTGGACTTACATTGTATCACGTCCCCTACATTCCGGACCTAACATGGTCCATGCTGCCGGCGGGAGGAGATTGCAGAGCTCGAGGTGATAGTATAGCGCGGATGTATACAGCAGATACACCTCATCTGTGAGTGCGCAACGCGTCGTGCACCGCGACGTATGTGCCTCTCTTGCGGCGCGTTTCGTCACGGGGCCGAGTGACCCCCACCCCTCTCTACGAAAATGACCAGACGTTCTGGAGGTGTGTGTGGTATGGGTTTTTCGATCTCCGCTGACGTACGCACGTGACACCTCCAGGACGTCTGGATCGAGACTAGAGCGCGCCTCGACGCGCCCCGATGACATCAGCGACACGGTCTCGTGATGGCTTGCCTCTTTGGGACGTCCGCCTCGTCCGCGCGCGGAGCAGTGGTACTCAGCAGAGATGACACGATGGGTACAGTACTGTAGAGCTCCTCGATTACCTACGTAGCGGTTTGAATGCCTGTAATACCTGTAAACCACAGTACTACCATTTCTGATGGACTATCGGCGATGGTTGACAGCTTGAGCACTCAAAACTACCGATTGGCAAGCGCATCTGCAGCCTTCTTGCGGCCACTTCCTAATCTCCTCGAATTCAGACGTTTCCTTACCGATTTTGCATGGTATTCCGTCGGCTAAATCGTCCTACTGTAGGGCTTTTACAGATTGTGGGGTATGAAGTCAATCGAGCCGTGGCCGACTGAGGAGTCGGGCGCGTTTGTAATGTGATCGTTTGTAATGTGACTGTGCCTTCCGGCCGATCTTACTACAAGGGCCCAACATATTTCTTTGGCAAGCTAAGAATCCCGGGGTACCCTCGTCAACTGCTCCAGGAGTACTTACTGCAGGCCGGGTATTGTACTTGCGTAGTACTTTGAAGGGACACTCGGAGCAGGCAGGCGCTCGGTCCTCGGGCAAGGCCCGGGCATCGAGCCGCGTCCGCGTTTTGATTGAACTGTGGCCTTGCGGTCAGTGAGTTCCTACAACCTTACTGACGGATTGACCATGAGACACGTACCGTGGGAGCTAGACCCTCTCCGCGGCCCTCCGGAGCGAGCATTTGAAAGGCCAGGCCGGGCACATAAAAGGGACTGTAAGTGTCAGTGACTCGGTCTGCAAGAGATCCAGCGCACCTTTGCGACGCCTTGTGCCAGTGGCTTTCAAGGCAAGTGTGCACACCATGGCGAACGTGAAGGTTGCGATTATCACAGGCGCATCCTCCGGTACGTGTGCTGTATGGTTGCATTCTGTGGTATGGTACGGTACTGATCGATGCAAATGATATCATGCAGGTATTGGAAGGAGTAGCGCAATCGCGCTGTCCAAAGCAGGATGGTCGATCGCACTCTATGCCAGACGGCTAGAGAACCTGCAAGAGACGAAATCGTTGTGTGCCAATCCAGACCAGATCCTTGTCGTGCAGGGCGATGTCACAGACGAGGAAAGCGTCATCAACCTCTTCCGCAGAACAGTCGAGCATTTCGGTAAGTCGTACTCGCGCATAGTATAACCGTCCACAGAGACGTTCGCTCACGCACATTCAGGTCGCCTGGACCTGATCTTCAATGTAAGCCTTCCGAGCGCGTCGTCCTCACCAGGGTAGACATCTAACCGCCAACGCATCCACACTAGAACGCCGGCATCAGCGCAGGCGGCCCCATCGAGGAGCTCTCGCTCGAGAAGTTCCAGCAAGTGACGAGCATCAACCTCGTCGGGACCTTCCTCTGCACACGCGAGGCGGTCAAGGTCTTCAAAGCGCAGACGCCCCAGGGCGGGCGCATCATCAACAACGGCTCCATCTCCGCGTACACGCCCCGCCCAAACTCCGCGCCGTACACGGCGACGAAGCACGCTGTTCTCGGGATGACGAAGTCCACGCTGTTGGATGGGCGGAAGTATAACATTACGTGCACGCAGATCGACATCGGTGAGCGGCAAGTGGTATGAAGCTCTTGGCGGGGCTGACGGTTCGTTGACTGTAGGCAATGCCGCGACGACGATGGCGATCGGCCATGCCGGAGGGATTATACAAGCTAACGGCGAGGTCGTCGCCGAGCAGATGATGGATGTACAGCACGTTGGCGATACTGTCGCATACGTTGCTGGGCTGCCTCTGGACGTCACCATGCTCACTGTGAACATCATGTAAGTCGGAAGCTTGAGCGTGTCTCTTGCGGCGTGCTGACACTGATGGTTTGCAGGGCAACGCGTATGCCGTTCGTTGGGAGGGGATGAGGGGACGACTTGTTACAGTAACATGTACAACACTTGCCATCGTGAATGCGAGCATCAGCCATACTCAGCGTGACGGCAGAGAGCCTGACAGATGAATGGAGCATGAATAGCATCTAAAGAGCACCGCTAGACCGATAGTGAGAAACAAAGCGTGCTTCACGCATGTACACCGAGCTTGAACATGGAGGCAATAACATCCTGCACGCCCTCCTGCAGACCGACCTTGCTGTGCGAGCCCCAGTTGGCCTCCACGTACACCACCGTCCCATACGTCCCCTCGAACTGCTCTATCGTGCCAAACGCGGGCACGTCGACCTTGCGCACGAGCGCGGTGCGCGCCTCCCTGCGCGCCTTCTGCGCCTCCGTGAAGGCCTGAAAGTGCTCATGTGGGACGGGCGCGCCTGGATTGTCGGGGAGGGGGAAGTCGGGCGGGAGCAGTGGGTCGAGGAGCTTGTCCATGAGCGACCGGGAGTGTGAGTGCGGAATTTGGTAGTCATCCGTGGAGTGTGCAATTAAGGTCGGCACGTTGAATTCCTGCATGTCCAGTATTCAGTTTGCGGGTAGTCTCGCCGCAGCGGATGTGCTTACATGAATGACAGAAAGCGTATCGTACAGTTCGCTCGCCAGTCTCTTCACGATCTCTAGATTAAGGGCTTAGTGGCACGGTCCAGATGCAAGTCAGATCCATGCTTACTGCGACCGAGTGCGAAACTCTGTAACGGCTGCAGCAGAGGGAATCCCCACAGCTCGTAAGTCTCGAGCAGTGTCGACATACTCGAGAATGGTGCGAGGAGGACTACGCCCCTCGGCTTGACGCCCTCGCGCGCCAGACGCGACGCTAGCTTTCCAGTGACGCCCGTACCGAGGCTGTGCCCGAGGACGAGCACCTCCTCAGGCTTCGCCCCGTGTTCCACGAGCCAGTCCCAGGCTGCGTATGAGTCGAGTTTGATACCCTCTTCGTATGGAGAGCCTTGGCTGTTCCCGAAGCCGCGGTAGTCGATCGCGAAGATGTTCGCGCCCAGACGCGCTGTCCAAGCGATGTAGTGCTGGATGCGCCAGGTCGTGCAGCGGGAGCCGGCTGAGCCATGGAAGTAGAGAATCGTCGGTCGAGACTTGATCGCGTCTTCTACCGTCTCGAGAGACGGCTGTGAGAGAGGCTCTGGTGTAGATGTGCGGAGAGTTTGGTAGTAGGAGTCCGCGAGCATGAACCACGCTCCGAGGGTGACATTATCAGAGGTGTGGACCTTGAGGTCGAGTGTTTTGCCAGCTAGCCACACCGCGAATGAGCCTTACTTCTCGGTATATACCACGATGAATGTGACCACCAGACAGTGGTCGAACGCAGGGCTGAACAACTCTGGAGCATGCATCAATGGTCCTGGGCTGGCAGTGGGCACACTCCCGCGACCACGCGTGTCTCGAATGGCTGTCTGTACAATGTCGACGACTGGGGACACCTAAGAGAGACCACTCACGCGCAAGGCCATACATTTCGGGAACATCAAATGTCCGGTGCCATGGCTCGGTGATCCAGTGCTCGTAGGCCACACTGGTGGCCAATTCAACTTCGACGACGGCCTAGACAAGCTCGCAGACTCACTGCCTCTGGATGTAGGGCACCGAAAGTAAGGCGATCACTGCAACGTAGAATCCAGTGAGCCAGAACGCGAACTTGTGCGCGCGAGCGAGGAAGCCCCGATTCGGATGGACATCGACTTGTGAGTCTGCTGGCATGGTGTATGTCGCCGTGTGTACGTCGAGATCCCGTACTGTCGGAGCCTCCTCCAGGCTGCGTAGGAGATTGTAGTAGGAAGGACTCCTTTGAGGGAGCGAGGGCGGTCCTAGGGCGTCGAGGGCGCCATATTTGAGTTGGCTTCAACGGCTGAGACACATGGGGTGATCCGGTATTTCCAAATGCGGGTTGTGCTGCATGTTGATTTTGACTGACCGACTGCATGTCCAGACTTGTTCACGAACAACGGCTTATTCGTACTCATTTCCTGCGTAGATGCTCTGAGCGGAAGCTCGAGCTTAAGGCAGCGAGAATCCCTGTCAGAGCGTCCGGGTGAAGCGAGAATAGGTGAGCACCTGATTTGCCGACGGGTCAGCCAGCGACTCAGCGGTCCCAACGCTCGCCCCAAACCTCCCGTCCGGGGACAACATTTGCTCGGTCCACGACATCAACATATACCCCTCGGAACTCTGCTCGACTAGTCTGTTGTCACACTTGGTGCCTGGACGATCTCTGCGTGCAGAAGATGAAGCAGAGCTCCGGTGCGCAACCGTCGGCAGCCGGAGACCTAGAGGGTCAGGTCGACCCCATAGATGTTCAAAGGTCGGAGAAGGGCCCGGGCCTGACACAGAATCCAACGCCTCTATCACAATCCCCATCCGCGACTTTACGGCTGAACGACACAAATACGCTGAACGATCCTCCACGATGGATGCGACGCATGTGGATCGGGTCGGGAATGATTCGCGATGTCCGTGCTAGAGCACCGTACTACATCAGTGATTGGACGGACGCCTGGAACTATCGTGTCATCCCTGCTATCGTCCTCATATTCTTTGCCAAGTGAGTTGAGTCTTCGTTTGGCTTGAGGCCAGCGCGGCAGGGGGCGGATGATGAAGGTATCCCTCCGGGCTGACTCCAATGGTCTAATTGCTAATACTCTGCGTACAGTGTCTTGCCAGGCATTGCGTTTTCGCTGGATCTCATAGAAACGACAAATCAATACGGAGTCTCAGAGGTTCTGCTATCCTCCTTCATGGCCGCCTTCATATTCTCCGTGTTCGGCGCTCAGCCACTATGCATAGCAGGCGTAACGGGACCTATCACAGTGCTCAACAAGACGATCTACAATATTATCGAGCGACAACCTGACGCACCCGACTATCTGCAGTTCGTCGGATGGGTCTACCTGTGGGGCGCCATATTGCACTGGATCACAGCTGCCTTGAATTGTGAGAGTACAACCTTCTCGTCCATGTCCCGGGGTATTGAGTTCGTCCAGGTTGCAATTTTCTGCGTTATGTCACCCTCTTCCCTTGCGATACCTTCGGGTTCTACGTCTCATGGGTCTACCTGCAGTACGGCGTGCAGGTCATCACGAGGGAATTCCCTGCGGGGTCCGCCTCGCCATCGGACTCGTCTACACTCGACGGTGCCTTCGTCGGCGTCATACTGGCTCTACTAATGCTTGTGATGTCGTTCCTCTTCCGGTCACTGTCGCAGTCTGCGTACTTCCATCGACATGTCCGCCGCTTCCTCGCCGATTATGGAATGCCAATATCACTGGTTGCTGCGTCGGCAATGGCGTATTGGGGACGGTTTAATGCTGCAAATCCAAGCACTCTTCCAACCAGCAAAGCCTTCCAGCCTGCCAACAGCAGAGAGTGGCTCGTGCGGTTCTGGCAATTGGACGGCAAGTGGGTGGGTATTGCCTTCCCGTTTGGCTTCGTCCTCTGGGTCCTGTTCTTCTTTGACCATAACGTTTCGGTACGTTCTCGGCTTTCGTGTGCTGAGGTACAATGCTCACTCGTCGCAGTCTCTCATGGCCCAGGGGACTGCGTTTCCACTACGTAAGCCTCCGGGGTTCCATTACGACTTCTTCCTCCTCGGTGTCACGACGTTCATCGCGGGCCTACTCGGGTTGCCAGCTCCCAATGGGCTCATCCCGCAAGCACCAATCCATACTACGTCCTTGCTCATCATGGGATACCCCAAGAGAAAGGATGCCGAAGAGCAAGACGATGGCAGGGGTTCAATGAAGCGGACACAAGAGAAGCGTCAACTAGTCGACCAAAATGAAGCTATACTACAACCCATACGCACGCGCCACTCATTTCTGGAGCCGGAGTTGGCGCCCGACCCTACGCAAGTCCGTGACGGCGAGGGTGACGCGCGCAGGCAAGAGGTACCTGTCGCTGTGGTCGAGCAGCGCGTCTCCAACCTCGCCCAAGGCGCGCTGTGCCTTGTACTACTGACGCGTCCATTCTTGCATGTTCTGCATCTGATCCCGCGTGGCGTCTTGGCGGGTCTTTTGTGAGTTGTGGCTTTTCCTCCGTTTGGAATGTCGGAGGGTTAATCCGTGACGTTGATAGTTGGTACATGGGCCTGGATGCGCTGCAAGGCAATGGGATTACGCAGCGCCTCCTGTACTTTTTCCGCGACAAGGCTCTCACTCCTGCAGACGAGCCCCTGCGCAAGGTTCGCAGGTCGCGCATCCTGCTATTCGTCGCTGTGCAGCTGGCAGGTTTTGGTGCGACGTTCGCCGTTACACAGACCATCGGTGCGTCGTCTGTTACTCTTCATCATCTGTAATGCTCACAGGAAGTACAGCGGCAATTGGATTTCCTGTCATCATCCTTCTATTAATCCCATTGCGCACATTGGTTGTTCCTCGTCTTCCTTTCACCGAAGAGGAGCTGGCAATCTTGGACGGGCCCACGGCGTCACCATTTGTAAGTGATGATATGTGATTTCTGCGCTCAACGTCTGTTCCTGACGGTCTGTATACTAGACCATGGCCTCTGTGGGAGGTGTGAGATGATAACCGACGAGTGTAAAGCTACAAGCTACTGGAATGAATGCATCATTCGTTTGGCATTTTGTCATCTGAGCGCCCAGTATGACGTCGATGAGCTGAACTTCAATCCACCTCGAGTACACTTGCGACATCAATGCGCTTGAGTTTGGTTCCGCCCATAGGAATTGGTGACCCGGTGAGCAATCCATTTCGATCTTTGTCCATACAATACGCGTCGAGGGTCACGGAGGATGACTTCAGACGCAGCCTTCGGACAGTGCGGCGTCGAGACACCCCGACCTTGACGTCGGACATCGCGGATGTGCCATACGTCGATTGTGGGTGACCAATGGTCTCGGCGTTCATGTTCATGTCAGGCACCTTCAGAACGTCTCTTCGAGTGGATCGCTTCACACTATCCGGATGGTGCTCTGTGCATTGTCGGTATGCCCTTCGAGAACCTAGCGCTGTAGATGTGGTCAGGGAGAGTTGCTGCCTGATATTCCTGAGTTCTGTTCAATGCACCTTTCTCTGACTCTGGGCGTGTTCGCGAGAATGGCAGTGAACTCGAGGAGATGCGTATCTATATTCACATTTGACAGATCGCGGTGGATGGCACTTAAGACTTGGGAAGGCACGGTCGCAGAGAAATACTGCAGGAGCGATGGGCCCAGACAGTGCTAGGGCTGCCTATAAAGCTGATATGGAACCCGGCAAGTCTTGCATTCACCAGCCCGTGGTGTGCATTGCTACGATGTCTGACAGCACCGTCATTGGATTCGTCCTCATTGCTCGTCACGGCGACCGCCACGAAAATTTCCAGAACCCAGATACTTTCGCGGTATCTCAGACAGCCATTACACCGCTGGGAAAGGTACGCCGAACGTCGCTTCATCGGGTGCCTCCCTCGTCTCTCCGCTGACTCTGTGCTCCTGGTCACAGCAGCTCAGCAATTTCCTGCGATCTGTGTACCTCGACCGAAGCTTGCCCTCGTACATCGCAGGTATCTCGCCTTCCACTTCAATCTTCAACAGCACTGGTCAGGTTGCAGTGTACGCCGACAACGACTTCCCGAATGACACGGTCATCCTGGATAGTACCGCGGCTCTAACGCAGGGCCTCTGGCCAGCGACGCCTCTGCAGAACATCACCCTGGCTAATGGCACGACCATCGTCAATCCACTGGGAGGGTACAAATATGTCCCAGGTTTGTCGGTTGTCCTCGGTGTGACACTACGTCGTTGACGAGTTCACAATGTGCAAGTCAACGGAATCAACCCTGATGAGAATGTCTCCCCTAAAGGGACGACGGACTGTACGGTGCGTCAGCTCTTTAATGCACCGGCTCGGCTCGGCTCATTGCATTCAAGACCTTCCTTAACTGCGCACAAGTCCTGTACAACTGGACGTTGTTTCAAGAAGTGTCTACAAATGCCTCGGCGTTTTTCGCAGCACTTCCACCATATGTTGGAGGCCGGCCGATCGAGCTTGAGAATGCCGTGTGTGATATGATACCTCCGTACCCCCTGTCATTGCTGAGTACCATGACCGCCTTGCGTTTCACAGTGGAATGTAGGTTGTCGTCTTTTGCCGTTATATCTTTGTCTGTAACCCGCTTCACTGCAGATCTTTGACTACATGAACTTTCAAGCTTCAAGACGTTCACAACGCAACGTATGCTTCCAACGTCCCCAAAACACTATTAGAACACTGAACAGGCACGTGCGCTCGCCAATTAGCAGCGGCTCGATGCCTCGTGTGCCTCCCCTGCCCCAAAGCACGAGGCACGATAACATCGTGCATCTGGGCGTCCAGTATAGCTGCAGGAAGTGAGTATTGACTCTAGAAAGCGAAAACACCAGGTACGTATTCAGCAATTCTGTGCGCGTCCGAGTCGCGCAACGGGTGTTGACACTGTTGAGTGGACACTGATACCGTCATACCGCATCACATATCGCCTCACATGTCCGAAAGGTCAATAGACCAACTCTCCGAGGCTCGAGACGAGGGACGTTGAGGATATGGGACTGAAGTGACCAGAAGAGATGGTGGTGAGCAACTGTACGAAGCTTTCACTATCCGAGTCTCCATTTGCGGCTCATCGCACGTGAACGGACATATGAAGCGGTAAGTCCGGTTGTCCGACCAGTCACTGGCCAATCCAATCAGGTACCGGCGGTACCGGCCGCAGACTGCCGCAGCAGTGCCAATTGGTAGCACTGCGGACAAAGCAGGTTGCGCGGAGCGCTTACATTGTCTGAACATTGTCAGAACATGTATATCATCTCAAGATCCGAATATTATCTATTTTCCTAGACCGAACATTGAAAAGCAGCCAATGAGGAGCCGTGCCTTTCAATGTTCGGTCACCGATAATAGTTCATGTTCGGATTTCGAGATGATATACTCATTCTAACGATGATCTGACACTTATCCGACGCCAAACAAAGGGGTTTGTCCGCAGTGTAGCGCCGTCACCTCGCCTTCGCACGCTGTCGGCGAGGCATTGCATCGACGTACTTATGCACACCAGTGCACACCGAGTCTGTCTCACAGCTGGAAGGCCATTGCAGGGATGACTGCATGCCGTCGCAGACCTTCGCAGACTCGAGATATCTGACACGAATACTACTAATAGCCTATCAACGCGGGGTTGAATTCGATTCGTTACCTGTCATATGCAAGTCATATGTAACTCGCAATTCCCGGGCGCGGACTCGCTCTGAAGATCTGACTGTCGACTGACTCTTTGCAAGCTCCGGGGCCGAACCCTGGGTTATTGGGACACAGATCAGTAAGTATGATAGCCTTTATAGGCGGACGCGTCACACGGCCTGCCGCGATACTGCCGGAATGACTCGTTCAAAACACAGGGAACGCATGGTTGTCGATGATGATCGAGGAAGGTTCGGTGCCGGTGGCTTCTTGATGGAGGAGGATCCTCCTCCATCTATGTACACAGCATCTGCCACCGCGCGCTTGTAACGGTACATAGACCCTCTGAATCAGCGTTAGTCGTGCGTCCTCCTCCTCCTCCACGTCCTTCGAGTGTCTTGTCTGTCCCAGGCACGATGGACACAGGCCCAAGAGACCCGTTCGTCAGTCATTCCAGTTGGTCCGTGAGCATACCGGGCACTGCGCAATATGTCTTCGCTCAGGCACACAAGGCTGGCAACCAAAGTGTCTCGGTGCTGAGTGCTGCACGAGATGAAATCGAGTAAGTTCCATGTCGCATTCATTTCGAGCTGAAATTACATGCAACACAGCTTCGCGGATTCCACACTGCTCTATCCTGTTGGGGTTGCTGCGCTTTCGGTCCTAGTACTGCTGGTGCAGCTAGCCTTCCATCTTCGAACCCAGCGAAACGCGTACACGAAACCTGCTGAGTCAGAGCCTTCACCATTAGCTGAGCCTCTCCATGCACCAGAGGAGAGCGAGAATGCGTCTGCGCTCGCAAAATACATCAAGGAGCATGGAGGCGCCGTCATAATCGCGTTCAACCTTGTACGATCTGGTTCAACTCTGGCTTTACTAGGCATGTCCATGTACAGCGCAACCAAAGCTCTCGGACACACGGCGACTCTGGAGCCCCAGAACTCCCAGATCGTTATCCACGTCAGTACCTGTATAACCTACGTGAGCACTTTCCCCTGCTTGCTTTTACGTGCCCAACGAAACTGAACGCGGCATCTAGTTGTACGCGTCAGCCCTCAGCATCGCCTCGGTGCTTGCCGGTCCGATTCTCAGCACAATTGTCGTTCGCCACCTGAACTGTATCCTGGTCTTGGAGTGGGCGGCTTACGCGTACCGCGACCTCTGGCCCTTGGCAACATTCACGCTCGAGCCCATAGATCTCGATGAGGGTGCGCTGCTCTGGACCAGATTAGCCCTGCTGACTCTCAGTGCTGTCTTCGTTCCTCTCCTAATCCCTCGGCTGTACATTCCCTTCGATCCGGAGGTACGTCGCTGCAGCCACGGGACAACGTAGAAAGGGCGAGAACTAATGGTGTTGTAGAACCCATGGCCCGACCCGCACCCGGAGCAAACCAGTTCCATCTTGTCATTCTGGCTGTTCACTTGGCTGAATCCGACAATAAGGCTCGCGTCGGGCGTCGAGCATCTCACGATCGACATGCTGCCCCCTCTGGCCGACTACGATGAAGCGCACAACCTGATGAAAAGCAGCGCCAATGTATGTCTGTCTGTTAGCATGGGTACTGCATTTATTGATGTGCTCGGAAGGAACTCGATCCTTTCAGAGTCAAGACGAAGGGAAGGCATCTCATGTGGGGTCTTCTGCGTGTTTTTCGTACGTTCATGCGCGTCTGCGTGGCTGCGCACATGTGTACTTATGTAGATTGAACAGGAGCGGACTGGATCATCCTGACCATCCTGACCACTGTGGACGTACGTCTGCAATCCCTTCAGTCCGTTATGTAGGCTCACGTTCTATTCGGCAGACCACTACGGAGTTCATCGGTCCGCTCGCTATCCGGTACATCCTGATGTGAGCATACCATTGTCGCATTGAAGCCTGGCCCTCTGACCCCCCCCCCCCTTCAGGTACCTCGAGACGGAGGGCGTGGGTGCTACCGTGCGGCCCTGGTTCTGGATCGCGACACTGTTCTTCGGACCGCTCTTCGACTACATTTTAATGGCCGCTCTCCTATTCCTCTCCGTGCGTCTAGCGTCCTAACCTCTCGTACTGTTACTCATTGGCACGCCTGTAGACGAGATTGCTGACCCGCGTCGAGGCGATCATCACGCAGCTTGTGTTCGAGCACGCCCTGCGCATGCGCATAAAGGCGGATGCCTCTGACGAACCTGCCAAGAGCGAGGGCGACACGACCGTCGCCGGCACACCCGATACGGCATACGTCGCGGGTTCAAGCGCGACCACTGCCCAGGAGAATGGCAACGACAATGACAGCGACTCATCAGCAGGCAAGGGCAAGCAGAAGTCCACTACGACTGCGCAGACGGCGAAGCCAAAGGACGACGAGAAGAAGGGCAAGAACGTCGTCGGCAAGATCAATAACTTGATCTCGTCCGACCTTGCCTCTCTCGGAAACGGCAGGAATTTCGTGATGATCTGTATGTGTCTAGTGCGTCTCGATGCTTGCGTTCCTCGTTCAACCTTACCTCCCCACAGTGGTCAAGCTGCCGGTCGAGATCATTTGCTGTGTCTGGTTCTTGTACGCCGTCTTGGGCTGGAGGTCAGTAGCTGTACCATGAGAGGCAAAGCAGCACATCTGATAGCCTCACAGTGCGTTCGTCGGTCTCGCTTCCATCATCATACTGTTCCCCGTCCCTGGTTTGATTGGCACGATGATTCGCAAGATCCAGGTCGCCAAGATGAAGAAGGTAACAGTCACGAGTATAATTGGGCGTGCAAGCTGCTGACGCATACCGTTCCAGACCGATGCTCGCGTACAGACTGCGACCGAAAGTGGGCTCAATAGATATCTGCCGGTGTACTCTCGCTGACTCCTGCCAGCTATGAACGTCATCCGCATGATAAAGCTGTTCGGCTGGGAGCCCAGGGTTACCGAGCAACTGGCTGAAAAGCGCGAGGAAGAGCTGGAGCTCGTGAAGAAGGACAAGCTGCTGGACCTTATCAATGGTAACCTGAAGTGCGTATGCAGTCTTCTGCACCCATGCAGCTCACACTGAAGCACCTGAAGTCACGTCATTCCTTTGGTGACCATGATAGCGACCTATGCGACATACGTGAGTCCGCCGCATCAAAATGGATGTAGACTACAAACTGACATCAGCCTATAGACCATGGTCATGAAACGAGAGCTCACTGGTGAGATGACTCCTCCCTGTATGCGCGTAAATCTCACCCTGGTTTTTAGCCTCTGCCGTCTTCTCGTCTATCACCGGTACGTCCTGTGAGTTCCGGCGGTCTGCATGGTACTCATGAATGTGTAGTATTCGACACTTTCAGCAACCTGATGCACATGGTTCTCGGCTTCGTGCCTGAGCTGATCCGAGGTAGGGTCATGAAACAGACCGACGAGATACGTTTAGAAGACTGAGTTCTGTATTACAGCCAAGGTATCGTTGGACCGAGTGAATGAGTTCTTGCAGAAGGTTGGTACTCTCTGCCTCGCATTCCGAGATGATTGATGGGAATATGTCATGCCATAGACAGAGCTCCTCGATGAGTACTCGGAGCAGCCTGGCGAGATCCAGACTCAGATCGGCGCGCAGCCCGAGGAAGACGTGATCGGTTTCCGCAACACTTCTTTCACATGGGCAAACACAGCCAGTGGTTCGGCTGCATCGACTCCTGGAAGTGGGCGAAGTAACTTCGCCTTGCGCATCGACGGCGACCTGATCTTCAAGAAAGGAGGCATCAACCTCGTCATCGGCCCTACTGGCTCGGGAAAGAGCTCGTTGTTGATGGCGTTGTTGGGCGAGATGCACTACATACCGGCGGGTCCTGATTCGTTCTTCAATCTTCCCCGTAGCGGAGGTATCGCCTATGCTGCGCAGGAGTCGTGGGTACAGAATGAGACTATCAGGGTAGGTGCTTCATCGCGGGAATGGTGCATCATAATCATATGTGTCTGAGTAGGACAACATCCTCTTCGGGGCACCATACAATGAGGAACGCTACCAGAAAGGTACGTTGACGCATCCCGCCGTAGAGAGCAGATTACTTAACTGCGCATATAGTCCTCGAACAGTGCGCTCTCAAACGCGATCTCGAGCTGTTCGCTGCGGGTGATGAGACGGAGGTGGGCGAAAGGGGTATTACACTCAGGTACAAGTTCGACTTGGGATGTTTTCAATTGCAATCATTGACTCTTTTGACACCAGTGGCGGTCAGAAGGTATTCGGTGGTCCGTTTGGGCGATGCCATTGTACTCACACCCATCGTAGGCACGCATCACGCTTGCCCGTGCTATATACTCGCGGGCGCAGACACTGTTGTTGGATGATGTAAGCGATGAGTCACCTTCCATGGGTTTGGAGGAGTGAACTGTTTGCTAGGTACTCGCCGCGCTAGACGTCCACACATCACGATGGATCGTCGAGAAGTGCTTCAAAGGCGACCTTGTACGTGGCCGAACGGTGCTACTCGTTGTAAGTCCACATTGTCCTGAACTTTGCAAGCTCCTCATGGTATCAATCGCAGACGCACAATGTTTCGATGGCCAGCCCAATTGCCGACTACGTTGTCGCTCTCGGCACAGATGGCAGAATATCCAGTCAAGGATCCATAGCCAACGCGCTAGAGCGTGACAGGAAGCTGGCCGCTGAAGTAGCCAAGGAAGAGGCCGAGATAGAGAAAGCAGAAGCTACCGTTGACGAGCAAGCTCCGGAAGAGGTTCCGAAGGAGGATGGCAAACTTGTCGTCGAAGAAGAGGTCGCAGTCGGGCATGTCGGTTGGCAAGCGAGTACGTCTCATGTTTCTGCTGGTCATAGTGTCTTTCTAACGAACACAACAGTGCGGCTTCTCTTCGGCGCGCTCGGAGGGAACCACCAAGTCTTTTTCTGGTTCAGCTTTATCGGCGGTCTCATGCTGTACATGGTCTTCAACATCCTTGAGACCTGGTTCCTGGGCTTTTGGGCGAGGCAATACGAAGAAGTGCCCGCGTCTGAAGTCAATGTTCCATAGTATGTCTCCCACGTTGATACGAGCGACATCTCTGACCACAATCTCTGATAGCTTCCTGGGTGTATACGGGTTGATCATGATCATATCGACCCTGTTTTACGTGGCGGCCTTCTATGTCTACATGTTCGGGACGCTGAGAGCATCGAGAGTCATTCACAACGAGCTAATGCGTTCGATTCTGGCTACAACATTGCGGTAAGTTCAAAACACTACTTTCGTGACACATCAATAATCATTTCGTAGGTGGCTTGACAAAACACCTACATCTCGGATTATTGCTCGATGCACGCAAGACATTCAAGAAGGTAAGTCTACCCTGTACATAGCGTGTCCTCAACTAACAAATGTGACGAAGTTGACGGTCCCGTTGCGAGATTGTTCAGTGTCCTTACAGAGATGTCGCTCGAGATGCTCATGAAGCTTGTTGTCGTGGCGGTGATATCGCCCATCTTCCTTATCCCCGGTGTGTTCATTGCCGCTGTCGGTGGTTGGATCGGCGAGGTCTACATGAAGGCCCAACTCGCGGTCAAACGTGAAAGAAGTAATGCAAAGGCCCCAGTGCTCGGCCACTTCGGGGCCGCGTTTGCGGGTCTCAGTATGTAACGTATTGCTCGATGAACTAGGGTTCTAGCTGACGGATTTGACAGCCTCTATCCGCGCCTACGGTGCACAGGAAGCGTTCAAGAAGGAGTCATACGTACGCATCAACCGATATACTCGTGCTACAAGAGCTTTCTGGGGTCTCAATGGGTGCGTTGAATACTGCAGATGACTGATCAGACAATCTGATCCCCTCGTAGCTGGGTAACTATCCGTATTACCACCCTGGGATCCGCCTTTTCTGCCGCTTTGGCGGCCTACTTGGTGTACGGGAAGTCAATCACCGCGTCCAATACCGGTTTCTCCCTGAACATGGCAGGTCAGGAGGGTCGGATAGGGATATCCCCACACCGTGCTGATATCATGCAGTCGGGTTTAGCAGCATGATTCTTTGGTGGGTGGCTATTTTCAATGAGTTGGAGGTGTCAGGTACGTCGCAACATGAGCAGGTGAAAAATCGTCTCTGACCATGTTCTTCCCTTCAGGCAACAGGTAAGAGACGGTGGTATGCAGACATGAGACTCTACTTATCTTTGCCATAGCATCGAGCGTATCAAACAATACATGGAGATCGAGCACGAACCCAAAGCTACGCCAGAAGGTATTCCGCCCGCATACTGGCCGGCGAGCGGAGACCTCAAAGTCGAGAAGCTCTCCGCTCGATACTCTCCAGTGCGTCTCCTCTGATGCGCGAGCAAGCATATGCTTAGTAAGTAAATCTAGGACGGGCCTCGCGTACTGCACGAGATCTCGTTTGAGGTGAGGTCAGGAGAGCGCGTTGGCATCGGTGAGTGGAAATCATTCCGAGTTGCGAATCCATCATTAACCCTGCTATCTAGTCGGTCGCACCGGTAGTGGAAAGGTAAGCACCGTGCCATGTATGTGAGACGTTCGCATGCTGATGCTATGCCTTCAGAGCTCTTTGACTCTGGCTCTCTTACGGTGTATTATCACCGAAGGCAAAGTGTATTATGATGGTCTACCGACAGACAACATTAACCTGGACGCTCTCCGCTCGAATATTACGATCATTCCGCAAGTGGTGCGTCATTCTTCCTCGGTAGATGCTCGCGTTAGCCTGACTGTGGTGTCAGCCCGAGCTCTTGAGCGGGACGTTGCGTCAAAACTTAGATCCCTTCCAGCAGTATGACGATGCCATGTTGAACGATGCCCTTCGGTCTGCCGGCCTGTTCTCGTTGCAGAGCGATATGACCGAGGGTCTCATCACCCTCGACACGCCCATCGCAAGCGGTGGAACGAATCTCTCCGTTGGGCAACGTCAGATCTTGGCCCTTGCAAGAGCCATCGTGCGGCAGAGCAAGCTGCTGATTCTGGATGAAGGTCGGTGCCGTGTTCATCGTAGTGTTAGTTATCTAACCATTATATTGTCGCTCATCCAGCTACGTCTGCCATCGGTGAGAGTGTTCCTAGAGGTTGAGAATTAGGCTGACGCGGTTGCCTTCAGACTATGCAACAGATGCTGTGATACAGTCATCGCTCCGCCAAGAGCTGGACACAGGCGTAACCCTGCTCATCGTCGCTCATCGCCTGCAGACCATCATGGACGCCGACAAAATCGTGAGTTGTGCTGCCTTTCAATTGACTTCGCTGCTCATACATCCCATTCAGATGGTGCTCGACGCTGGCAATATCGTACGTGAACATCACATGCTGATCACTGGTTTGGACACTGAGTACTCTATAGGCTGAATTCGGCAAGCCCAGCGAGCTTCTGAAAAATGAACAGGGTATGCTCCGTGCGCTCGTCGACGAGAGCGGCGACAAGGAGATGTTGTATGCCATGGCTAGTGATGCCACAGGTTCTCACTGATAGAGTCGCGAGCTTCTGTATCCAATCTGTAATCTATTACGGGTTCGTCGTGCATTCTCTTATACAAACCGTCTTGGTGCGTTGAGTGCGGGCGGATCTTCCACGGTCGCAGTGCTTCGTACGAGTATCCGATTCCAACGGAGGATTCACATCGCTGGGCTATTTCCATAACCTCCTGACCAATCGTCCCAGCGGACACTTGATACATGAGCGTCAAACCACTCCCTATCCTCCGAAGCGAGCTCGCAGCAATCCTCCACATTGAGGTACTCTATTGAACCCACTACGTACCCCGGCTCAATTGCCTCCGGGAACCCCGTTGCTTCGTGCACGCTACGCCGCGCCTCGAGGAGGTACCGTAAGTCCATGCTGCTGAATTGCTTGCACCCAACTATCGCCAGCGACTTGAGGCACGGGGAGACCCAGTTGTCATTCGTGGCGAACCCCATCACGCGGAGCACTTCGTGACGCAGGCCGTCGCAATTGACCATTAACACTTTGCTGCACGGGATCGGGCCACGCTGTGCTGCTAGGAAGGTAAGGAGCGTCTTCGCGCTCGCGATTTCGGTCGCTTTGATGTAGTATGAGTTGCCAAGCAGGGAGGGGACCTCCATCGAGCAGCGCGTGTACGACGTCATGTGGACGTAGGGGTAGCTGAGGAGACGATTGTACTCCGCAATTTCGTCGCCGCGCATGTCGACGAAGTCCGCGAACGCGCACCAGACGATCCCACGTCGGACAAGCGGAGGTCCACTGTAGGAACAGTCGAGCCGTAGGTTCGCGAGCTTGACCCGAAGCATTCCCTTGCACTCGGTGATGCATTCGAGGAGGTCGACTAAGGGGAAGTTGGTGTGTCGCAAGCCGTAGTCCAAGATGGTGAGATGGGAGAGCTTCGGTGGCATTCGGTACTGCAGGATCAGCTTCACGTATGACTCATGAAAATGTACATTGCCCATGCGAAGTCTCTCCAGGACGGGTGTTGAGAACTCGGCTGAGACAGGGGAGGCTCCCGTGACGCTCGCCTCAGAGTCATCGACAACGGCCTGCATTTCAAGATCAATGAGTCGATCTGCACGACCAACGATTTCAATGCGAGGGCGCGGGAGTGAGCTAGCACGGAGGACCTTCATGCGAAGAAGGCGCCAACGCTTCATGTGCGGAGCGAGTGTTTCCATGACGGCCTGCATCTGTACCTTCTCCGTAGGGCCTTCTTCAGTATTAATATATTACTTACTACTAAATTATTAGTGGCCGCGTCAAGCCTACACAAAACGTAGATGTCCAGTAGAGAGTCCCGGGACCAGGTAAGGTAGTCGCGTATCGTTGACAGCGATGTTGGATCATTGCCGACCCAGATCACCAAGCGCGTCCAGAAGAGTGACATGATTGACATGACCCCTCGCCAGTGGCGACATACAGAGGCGATCGACTCCGGGAACGGGAGAGGTGACATTGAGCTGTCGTATGGCGGCCATGGTTCTAGATTTTTGTCATTCCAGCCAACTAGGAACCGCCCATGGAAAGCTGGGTCCCGGACGGTAAGAAGCAATTCGCGAAAGATGAGGAGGAGAATATCCGGGGGAAGATCGTTGACGGACACACGCTGCCGCAGCCTGGTTGTCCCAGCCGCGATGCCGGATATTTGTTTCTTGCTCATGGCCTGGACCTGTTGAATGTTAGTAGAAGTAGTATAGTCTCTCGAACGACGTCGTCAGCGTACCTGGAGCATGGGCAAGAGATCGGGGAAAGACAAGAATCGCTGGTCCGGGAGTAACTTAGCCTACGTGGGAATCGGGACTGAAGATCTTCACGCCACAGACGCGTCCACTCCCCCTACGCCACTCAGACGACGACGACGACGAGGGGGGGATCCATTTAGTCACGCAGCACACGCGATCCACGCGGACGACGTTGTGGGTCTTCTGTCGCATGCAACACACTGCAGGGTTTCGACTCACCAAATTTTTGCAGGTAATATTCTCAGTGTAAGATTTTCCGACCGTTGTGTGCTTATTTAGATACTTTGACAAACTATGAATTTGCAGACGGATGAAATGGCATTACTCGACCCCCAGCATAATGAACTCGGACTGACTGGAATAGAGCTCGAAGTTTGATCGCCCGAGACGGACCCTGTCGGACGAACGAGGGATCCGGATGTCGAAGAGGCAAGTAAGTAGTGACATATCATAATGCCCATACAGGGCGCTTAGATCAAGGATCTACTGACCACATTGTCCGATTACTTATGTCCTGGTTGTCCCGCACCCACATGCTTGTACTGTCTCGTGTCTCTTCCTTCTCGCTGATCAAGGCAGTACAATTTCGATAACGTCACTGGCTTTCTACTGGGTGGCCCGGAATAGATTAATGGGTACGACCGACCTCCCACAATGTCGCGATCGGCCTTCCGTGCGAATTTAAGGGTTGAACGTTGAACGACGATAAAGGAGAGCAATTCAGTTCAGGCTGCGAAAAAGCCTCAGGCTATCCGGCCGAGGCCGGGAAGTATACACGCCAGTTCTAGAACCAGGACGAGGGGATTGAACGACGAATCATGTCGGCCCGCCGGAGCCTGTTCCTTGCATAGTAGTATTTGAGAGCCGAGTCATCTTATCCAGCTGATCTCCAACTTGCCTCCGTTCCCCACTCAGAGGCGGTCAGCGGAAGTCCTAGGTTAGCGCGATGGCAAGCAGCAGCAGCTCGGACAATGTCATCGGGGTCGTCATCATGGCAAGGCATGGCGACCGGAGGGGCTACTACCAGTCCCCCGTTACCTATACCGCTTCGGACACGATCATCACGCCGCTGGGAGAGGCGAGTCTACTTCTCTCCGATGCAAAATGTTCAGTGCTAAAGCCTCAGTGATGCTTTTCAGCAAGAGGAATGGCAACTCGGTGCTCTGCTCCGGTCGATATACCTGAACGAGTCGTCCTCGTCTTACGTTCAGGGTATCGCACCATACACCTCTGCCTTCAATTTGAGCCAGGTGCAGGTTTACGCGGACAACAGTGGAGAAGGGTCCGTCATCATGGATAGTGCGGCCGCACTTGTTCAGGGCCTCTGGCAAGCCACGGATCTCCAAAACACGACCCTTGCCAATGGGTCGACAATCATCAGTCCACTGGGAGGCTATCAATACGTTCCGAGTGAGTCCCTTTTCACGTATCGTGCACCAGTATTTGTGAAGCTAACCTACGACTTCGAGTTAACTCTGTCAGCCCGAACGAGGACATTACCTTGGACAGCACAGATCAATGCAAGGTCAGCCGACGTTTCTGTGCACTCCCGTATTGATGAGACTGAACTTGTGACGATCAGGCATTCACCACGCATACTACTACGGTGTACAACTCATCCATCTTCCAAGCCAAGCAAGAAGAAGCGGCCTCGTTCTTCTCTGAGTTGTCACCGTATGTTGGAGGACGGTCTCTCGAGCTGGACAACATGGTGAGTTCCGAGCGTTTGTTGAACAGACGTCTCGTTAACGACATGCTTGTCTCCTTTCAGTGGAACGTAAGTAATTGGCCGCCGGTCAGAGCTCATGTCCGCATGAATGACATCTTTCGTAGATCTACGACTATATGAATGTCCAGTCCATCCATAACACGACTTTCGCAGCCGCCTTGCCGTCAGAGTACCTCGCCCAAGCCCGCGACCTCGTCGACTGGCAACAGTACCAGGTTTTCACAGACCCGTCTTTCGACGGCATTGGCAACAGTGAGTGTACATCGCCATGTTGATCATCGCATTTTGGCTGACAATGTACCACGCTGGTAGTCGGTTTCCGCACGATGCTCCCGGGGATCTTGAACTCGTTTAAACAGTTCCAGAATGCATCGACAGGCTTGAAGCTGAGCTACTACGCCATTTCGTACAAGCCCTTCCTCGGACTCTTCAACATGACGGGCATAGTCAATGACGGTCAAGTTCCCCAGGCGGTCGGTACGTGCCCACCTGTAAATTCTCTCGTACCCTGTCACTGACTGAGCACCCTCCCAGTCGACTACGCGGGCACCACCGTCTTCGAGCTGCGTCAGCCGTCAAGCGGCTCAGAGCCGACAGTTCGCCTGCTCTTCAAGAACGGGACGGCTGCAACGGAGTACAGCCCCGTGACGATGAGCTTCTCTGGCTGGAACGGCGCGCAGAGCGGCACGGACGTCCCGCTGTCGACCTTTGTGAGCGCGTTCGCACCCGCGGCTATCAACAGCACGCTCGACTGGTGCCAGGCTTGCGGGACGACCACCGAGCGGGGATGCGCTGTCGCCCTCGCGGCGGCTGCGGAGACCGCGAGCTCGGGTGGCCACCAGAAGATAAGCAAGGTCGGCGCGGGCTTCTTGGGTGCTGGGCTCACAGCGGCAGTGTTCTTGATGGCACTCGGTGTGCTCGCCTTCCTTGGTGTACTGACTGTCGGTGGGAGGAGATGGAGAAGGAAGCGGGCTGCTTCGGGGTCCAAGGAGAAGATTAGGAGTGCTAGTGGTGGCGACGTTGAGCTTCACTCTGAGGTAAGTCTCATCGTGCTTTTACAGACCACATGGCTCATTGGCTTTGAATCATAAGGCAAACTCGCTGTCTAAGGTGTAAGATTACACAGCGAAGAAGATGTGATGGTCACGGGAGCGCTCACCCGACATTACTTGTATTTCTAGAGCATCTGTACTCGTCATGACGATGTCCTCATATGGATCATGATGTCGGCTCAAGGGCTGAATTGAGCTTGAAGCATGCCAGATCTGTACTCATCGGACAAGGCTATAGCCAGATCCAAGACAAGCAACAAGGATGCGCGATGCGCGATGATCGCAAATCATGTGACCGCGTCACCAACGTGTTTATCAGGCGCCAGACCCGGCGTGAGACGGCGTTCGGGAATCGAGTTTGGCCTCGTCCTTACCTCGATCTGCATCGCGCCGACGCGTAGGTCATCATGCATACCAAACCATCCGTTACACGTATGGCTCCTCGGCCTCACACGGTTCTCCCTTGGTTCGAAGAGGTAGTCTGGCTGACAACGACTTAGCATGGGAAGCAGATACTTACATTTGACAGAGCCTGCCGCCGCGCAACGCCTTCGGGCATTGCTGTACGAACCATTGGTCGCTTCTACGCTTCTTATCAGCGAGCGCTGGACGAATGGATGGTGATGCCACGTAGCCTCTACTTAACGTAAACTCTATATATGCGGTGTACCAGATGCGGATGCGCGCAGCACTCTGCCGCGTCGCGCCATCGCACTGCGCAGCTTAGTGAAACGTGTCTGAACGGCCACCATCCCTCGCGAATCCCTCGCGGTCATCCTCCCCTCCTGCCGATACCTCGAGTCTTAAGACGGGCCCCTAGACGTTAATCCTCGGAAGACGAGATGTCGCTCCCTCCACAAGTCGTGTTGGCACCTGCAGGGGAACGTGAATACGCTAGCTCCGAGCAAGGACTGCCATTGTACGTCCAACAATTCTCCGTCAGGTCTACCTTGACCGGAATGCTGATATTCGCTCGAAGACCTGAACTTGCAACGCTTGGCATCCCCGTAGCGTTCGCGGGGGTTTCCGTGATCGGTCTTGTTGTCCAGTCTGTCATTCTCTGGACGCGTTTGAGGGTGGCAGCCACGAAAGTCATCCCTTCTACGTCGTTCGAACCGGAATCGACCGTAGACGTCACGGATGTCAATCATGAAAACAGATTGTCGCGCTTCGTGGCCCATCGTCGAGGATGGACGGCGTTCGCCCTCAATTGCTCTCGCCTTCTAGCCTGTCTGGCCCTTCTTCTCATGAACATCTTCACTGCCGTCACGTACCCATCGGAGAAGCCTGAACAAAACAGTCTCCATGATGAGACCACCCCTACAACGGCGATCTTGGTTATCTATGTAGGCTCCTTCGCATCGATTCCAGGCAACTCGCGCGCTAACATCTGATACAGCTATATGCCTTGGTCCTTTCTCTGGCAGCTACGCTGACGACATCCCCGACTAGCCTCTGGGCGACGCACGTCAATCTTGTGCTCATCCCTACTTGGGCTGTATATATCTATCGGGACGTCTTTCCACTGACAACGTTTACGCTCTCCCCGATCGATGCAGCGGAAGGCGGATGGCTTTGGGCCAAGATCGCGCTACTAACCTACGTCGCTCTGATCGTGCCGCTGATCATTCCGAGGCCGTACACACCTGTCGATCCGAAGGTCTCGATCATCCAACTTCCACGTTGCAGAACGTAGTCTGACTAACCCCCATCAACAGCACCCATCCAAGCCATCACCGGAACAGACAGCGTCGTTGCTCTCTTTGCTGCTATACAGCTGGCTGGATGGAACCATCGTGGATGCGTATCACGCTGAACATCTCAAGTTAGACCAGCTGCCCCCGCTAGCGGACTACGACGATGCCCAGTTTCTGGCTGAACACAACTTCCTGGTATGTAGCTAAGATCTGAGCCGAAAGTCGTCTCACGGGATTACTGAACTGGAGCAGGAGCTCAGCCCATTCCAAGTCAAAAACAAGGAAAGACACATCTTCTGGGGCTTCGTGCATATTTTTCGTAAGAGTTCCCCGTCAGTATGCTCGACTGTTCTCATCAATCACATACAGGACTTGATCTCATCGTCATGGCTCACCTATTGATATTCAATGTAAGCTAATGTTCTCTACCAGTTTGTCTGTGCTGAGCTTAGTAGACATTCTTCCAATTTGCCAACCCGCTGAGCATCAAAAACCTGCTTAGGTATCTGCAATAACCTTGTCTTTGTATCTGCATCAGGCGACCTAATGTGTTTGCTTCAACAGCTACATCGAGGACGGAGGCGAAGGTGCCCTTGTACGCCCATGGGTCTGGGTTCTGTGCCTCTTTCTTGGACCGGCGCTTGAGACCGTCAGCATATCGTTCTATTATCTGTATTCGGTAATATCCGTCGTTGACCTCTTGATTCGCGAACGTACTGACAATAGGCGGGTTTCAGATGCGACTACTGGTTCGCATGGAAGCGATGATCACGCAGCTTGTTTTTGAACATTCTCTTCGCATGCGTGTGAAGGCCGAGGCGGGAGATGGCCCAGTCCCGCAAGGCAAGACAAGAGAGGGAAAGCAGAAGGGAGAAGGCAAGAATGTCCAAGGGAAAGTCAATAACTTGATCACCTCAGATCTCAACGCGATCGGCTTCGGGAGAGAAATCCTGGCTCCGTGTTCGTGTTCACCTTGCATGTGGTCTGTCAGCTGCTGTGATTATTGACGTCAAGTCGTACTTGACAGTGCTGAAAATTCCGGTGGTCGTGATACTCTGTGTTATCTTCCTCTACACACTGCTCGGTTGGAGGCTGGTATCATTCCCGTGTAATGCGCGTGCAGTCTGACTGACAGGTAGCTTTTCAGTGCCTTGGCTGGCATGACGGTAGTCGTCGTTCTCATTCCGCTTCCTGGGACACTCGCTACGAGAATTCGTAAGGTGCAAGCCCAGAAGATGAAGAAGGTAAAGTCCCTAACTTCAAAAACGTTCTCCGCGTCATGTCTGACATTGTGACATTAGACAGACGCTCGCGTACAGACAGTCACAGAAACTATGAATGTCATACGAATGATCAAGCTGTTCGGCTGGGAATCGCGTGTGAAGCAACAGCTCACTGAGAAACGGGATCACGAACTAGATTTCATCAAGAAGAGCAAGATGCTGGAGCTTATCAATGGGAGTGTCAAGTAAGTGTGCACTGCTGGTGTACGACCGCAGGGACTGATAAACGCAGTTATATCATTCCGTTGTTGACAATGATCGTGACTTTCATGACCTACGTATGTGTATCCATACCTATCGCGTTGACATGCTCATCGGGCGCACATACGCTAGACAATGGTGATGAAACGAGAATTGACGGGTGCGTTGCTGCAATGATGCAGCACTACGTCGCTTCGGAGCCGTACTGACGTCCCGGTAGCTTCCAGGGTATTTGCGTCTATGACTGGTAAACGATACATTACATGCTATGTTTATACGACTTCACTGATATGTGGCGCTATAGTCTTCACCATGTTCAGCCGTGAGATCCGTCAAAGCTTCAACTTCATCCCATTGATGATGAGAGGTGCGTAGCGTATCATTTGTCGCCTTCTTAAGGCTGACGTCCTATCCTTAATCAGCCAAGGTCGCACTCGACAGAGTTAACGATTTCTTGCATCAAGTATGTCATGTCTGGTCCTTCATCTGAGCCCCAAATCTCATACATGGAATAGACCGAACTATTGGATGAGTTTTCGGAGCCCGGGGATTCCTTGACTGTCGCCTCGCTTGCGAGCTCTCCCCCAAGTGCGGATGCAATCGGCTTCAAGAACGCATCCTTCACGTGGGCTAAAGATACCGATCTTCCTCCTACACCCGGGAGCGGAACGCGTGCGTTCAAGCTGCGCATCGAAGGAGATCTGGTGTTCAACAACGGCGGCGTCAACCTCATTGTCGGGCCGACTGGATGCGGCAAGACGTCCATGTTGATGGCGCTTCTAGGCATGATCACAGCCCTTACGTGCGACTCACATCGTGACACAACCCACAGGCGAGATGCACTACATTCCAGAAGGCCCACACTCATTCTACCAGCTTCCACGCGCTGGCGGTGTTGCTTACGCTGCTCAAGAATCATGGGTACAGAATGAGACTATCCGCGTGAGTCCTGTGTTCTTGAGAGCTCTACACGAGCTCACCGCGAGTGTTTGAAGGACAACATCATCTTTGGCAGCCCTTACGATCGAGAACGATATGAGAAAGGTGCGCTCGTGTGCTATATTTCGTCAACTTCTGCTCAACGGCTCTGCAGTCATTGACCAGTGCAGTCTGCGGCGGGATCTAGGACTATTTGCAGCTGGAGATCTGACTGAAGTAGGCGAAAAGGGTATCACACTGAGGTATTAAGTTCCATGATGGCGTACTCAGGTACAGCTCTGACGCAGACTTATAGCGGTGGTCAGAAAGTACCTTTCACTATCTAATTGAACGCATATCGTGCTGATAGTTACTCAGGCGCGTATCACGCTGGCTCGTGCAGTATACTCGTCCGCAGAGATCCTGCTACTGGACGATGTGAGTACCACTACTGGATATAGGATGACCTGCTGAGAGCGTAGTTCAGGTTCTAGCTGCTCTTGACGTGCACACAGCCCGATGGATAATCAATAAGTGCTTCAAGGGTGATCTCCTCCGCGGCCGTACTGTGCTTCTGGTGGTGAGTACATCTGTCCCAGCGTATGAATGTCCGAGACTGATCGCGGGAGCATTAGACTCACAACGTAGCGATGACTAAGGGTCTGGCCGATTTCGTGGTCGCGCTTGGGCTTGATGGGAAGATATCGAGTCAAGGAACCTTGTCAAATGCACTTGAAAGAGATAGCAAGCTAGCGGCCGAGGTCGCTGAAGAACAGGCTTTGATCGACAAGACAGAGGAAATTATAGATGACTCTCGTTCCAAGCAATCGTCTGGGAAACTAGTAGTGGAGGAGGAAGTGGCCGTCGGACATGTGGGTTGGTCAGCGAGTGAGTGTATATGACTGTTTCAAAAGATGGTGGGCTAACGGGCATAACAGTGAAGACATATCTGTCCAGTCTCGGCGGAAGCCATCTGTGGCTTTTCTGGACTTCTTTCATAAGCATCTTAGCGATCTCCCAATCGCTGGAGAACTTCCAAGTCTGGTTCCTTGGATATTGGGCGCGACAGTACGAAATTCGTAATCCTTCGGACGTTAACGTGCCTTTGTGGGTATCTGTTTCATTTTGCTTCGTGTGTGGCTCACGGGATACGCAGTTATCTCGCCATATATTCTCTGATCCTGCTGGTTTCTGCCGCGTGCTACTACAGTGCGCAGGCTGCCTACGTATTCGGTACTATGAGGGGTTCGCGGGCCGTACATGGCCAGCTGATCTCCTCGGTGCTCGGAACGACGCTCAGGTAATGCTACAAACTCCAGGAACATGCGTTGGTTGTTGACAGAGTCATACACCCAGATGGCTCGACAAAACGCCCACCTCAAGAATGATCGCAAGATGTACCCAGGATATCCAAGCTGGTTAGTACTGAAACAACTGTGAGATCCACTGTTCACGTTAATTTCCAGTGGACATGCCCGTTCCGCGGTTTTTGGGAGACATTCTGAACTATTCGATGTCAATGTTGCTCAAACTAGGCGCCATAGTAGCAACGTCTCCTATTTTCTCTCTGCCAGCGGTTCTCATAGCTAGCACTGGCGGGTGGATCGGCCGAATCTACATGAAGGCCCAGTTGTCCGTCAAGCGAGAGAGAAGTAACGCACAAGCCCCTGTCCTTGGGCATTTTGGTGCTGCCTTCGCTGGTCTAGGTGAGCTCTTGGTTGGAGCCACACATGTCCGCAGAGCTCATGTCGTCCTCAGTGTCAATCCGGGCGTATGGTGCTCAGGATGCATTCAGGAAAGAATCATACAAACGCATCAACCGCTATAGTCGAGTATCAGTGATTTTCTGGGGGCTCAATCGGTATGCATAAAGTCCACGATGCTCAGCCAGCGTTTTGAGCAGAGATCACAGCTGGGTGTGTATCCGCATCGACGCATTGGGTGCTATCTTCACAGCGGCGTTGGCCGGGTACCTCGTATACGCTAAACCGACTACCGCATCGAATACCGGATTTTCGCTCAACATGGCAGGTGGGATTGTAGGGTTATGCGTTGCCGTCGAGGTCACTAAAGTTGTACTCAGTTGGGTTCAGCGGCATGATTTTGTGGTGGGTGCGGATGTTGAATGAGTTAGAGGTCAACGGTATGTGATTGTTCTGTGCCGCTGCTGAAATGAAGACTATCGTGCTTACACGCTGGGAAACAGGCAACAGGCACGTTTTGCTGCTTACCTTGAGGCTGCTTATTGACGCCTGTATAGCCTGGAGAGAATCAAGCAGTATGTAGAGATTGAGCAGGAGACCAAGCCAACCATCGACGGTGTTCCTCCCGCATACTGGCCCGCAAGTGGGGATCTCAAAGTGGAGAACCTTTCGGCGAGATATTCCCCAGTGAGCTATCAATATCGAGCGCGTTGTATGGTTAGCTGATCTAGCGACCTACAGGACGGTCCGAGCGTCCTACACGGCATCTCGTTTGAAGTCAAATCGGGAGAACGCGTAGGCATTGGTAGGCATTGCTATACCTTTCTTTGCGCACACTTGTGACTGACGATCGCTTGCGCTTAGTCGGGCGTACCGGGAGTGGAAAGGTGAGTGGCAGCAGATCTCAAGACTTCGTCGTTGTCTCGTGGCTGATGGATAGCAAAGAGTTCCTTGACTTTGTCTTTGCTGTGTTGCATCATCACAGAAGGGAAGGTCTACTACGACGGCATCGCTACAGACAGTATCAATCTCGACGCGCTCCGCTCAAACATCACGATCATACCGCAAATCGTACGTCGTGAGTCCTCGCACGGATCATATGCCCGGCTGATTTCGACCCGCAGCCCGAGCTGCTCAGCGGGACTCTGCGTCAAAACCTGGACCCATTCCAACAGTATGACGATGCTGTGCTCAATGACGCTCTGCGATCTGCTGGGTTGTTCTCCTTGCAAAGTGACAGTGAAGATGGTAAAATCACGTTGGACACTCCTATCGCAAGTGGAGGAGGCAACCTCTCCGTCGGCCAGCGACAAATCTTGGCGCTAGCGAGGGCCATAGTTCGTCAAAGCAAGCTGCTTATCCTAGATGAAGGTGCGTGCTTCTGGTTCCTCAACGTGACGAACATTCACCGAGACAACTGTCGTAGCTACATCCGCTATCGGTAAGTAGCCACATGAATATCATCCGACCCTCATCGACTCACTTGTGCAGACTATGCTACGGACGCTGTCATTCAAGCCTCTCTTCGGAGAGAATTGGAGAATGGCGTCACTGTCCTGACTGTCGCTCACCGGCTGCACACGATCATGGATGCTGACAAGATCGTGAGTCGTCATAACATGGTCGAACCCAGTCTGAAGTCCTTACACGTGCGGGTTTTCTCACAGATGGTTCTGGACGCGGGACGAATAGTGAGTGCCACCCTTGGACGATGGAAGAGCACCATTCTAATGATTGCCATAGGCTGAGTTCGGCAAGCCTAGCGAGCTACTCAAAGATCAGAAGGGCATGCTTCGCGCACTGGTCGACGAGAGTGGGGACAAGGAAGCCTTATACGCTATGGCTCAGGGCGCTTCGGCTTCAGTCAGTCAATCGTGTGTCTAATATGTGGCATAAGAGGGTCAAGCCTTGCGTCGTTCTATCCTATCATCACCGTCCATCTGTCTAGAGGTTCGTCTATATATCGTATTTACTGCCATTTGCTGTCCTTCGTTTGCGTTTTCCGAGACACTGGCAGCTTCAGCACGCCAGACCGAGGTCGGAAACACGTACCGATACAAGTTCATTCGGCACGCGGAAGAGGCCAGAAGAGGAGGATCGGCCTTTCGACGCGCTCATGGTTATTTTCTCCCTTGCGCAGACTTCCCAGAGAAAGAAACGTCGGTCACCTGAGGGCAAATCTAGAAGCTCTAAAACTTGTCACTCGACGGCTCCAAGTTTGAGTCCTTTGATCTCCATCAAATTCAATACCTCACCCTGCTTGGAGATGCACCTGCCTTTGCGGGCAGAGAGATCCTCGGAGAGGGCGAGCTTGGGGCGAGCAGTGGTGTTCCATCCGGTGTGAGATAGCTCGACAATCATCTAAATTGACTCGCACGCCGCCGCACATGCGCTTGATCGTTCGCACGTCGCAGCTACTTACGGTTTACCGCAACCCTGGCTTCAACTACAGCGCTCCGCTTATTGCTTATCGATTAACGGCAAAAGACTGGCGAGCACGGCGCGGACGTCGTTCGATTTTCAGTCCGCACAACGGGCAGCTAGCTCATGGTTTAGCAGATGACTACGTTACTTGTTTACGTAGATCTCCAAGTACTAGTCGAGGTTCGCGATGGGTAGAACGAGCTACCGGGAGCCCTTGAGCACACGGAGGGGCAGAAGTATATCGGTCAAGAGTCGCAACGGCAGTTTTTCAGTGCTGCGAGTCTATCGTGGTGCACTGTGAGAATGACGTTTATCAGTACCAGGCTTCGCTTCTTCTCTATGGATTCAGTGGACTTAGTAGGCATACCGGCATCGCATGCGACTGAAGGGAAGCGTAAACAATTCACTTCTTGTGAGTGTGATCTTCCTGAAACTGCGTTGACAATAGCCATCGTTCCGTAGAGCCTTTAGCATGCGGTCTTCTATTAGACGTCATAAACTGCGACTCATCCAGCGCGGTGCCGGATCGTCCGACAGTGAACGGCGCAAGATGTCTGAGGGACGAGGGCTCAGCTAGAAGGGGGTACAACATTGTAAGCGACAGACGATTTCTGAATCAGGGTGACGGCCTTTACTTAGACGCATAGCGATAATTCAAAACAGGAGTCCGGTATCGTGCTATTTTGTTGACGTTCTTATGCCCAGACCACGATGCGAGCACGACCACCCTCGAGCCACGCGGAGGTCTAGACATTGCAACGCTAGATAGGAGGCCACATGGGTCGGGCCAAGAGGCACAAAAGGAGGGCTCTTGAACGAAACGTGTCAGGGCGTTCTGACCAGGTTCTGACCGTGCAGTCGATATAGCTTCTCGGGCGGCGTCCGCTGAAATTTGAGTACTGCAGGCATACGAGGGCGGCTGCTCCAGACCTTTCATTGCGACAGGACCACATGAACGACCGGTCCCAGTGTAGTAGTAACGGGAATATTTCTGCTGGTCTAGAATGCACCGACGACGTGCGCGTGCCACTCGCCTTAGCGAGTCGATCACAAAAATGAAGCCAAGTCTTTATGTAGCACGAGGGCTCGCCTGTCTAGATTCTCTCGAGCTCGAGTGACTTCGAAGCGGCGACTTGGGCGGGAAATGTCGTTTCGGACCTTCGGTTGAGTGATTCAGGAAGCATCATGCCTGATTTGGGTTAGTTCAACACCTGTGTTCCACGTGTACGGAGGACACAGTACGGTCGAGCGCCTGTCGTGCCTTCGTCCCAATAGTCACTGAGAAAGCTGCTGCTGCTGCCGGGGCCGGTGAGTCTTCGAGGCGAATCCTAGGGGCCTAATTAATTCGACATCATAGGACAGACTACAGATGCGTGTTGAAGGCGCACCTCTCGAGGTTAGCCGACGTAGGCATGGGCACTGCGTACGACTACCCTCGAAGGCACACTGGCAGTCGGTTTGCCTGTACAGTATCGCGGGTCGTACTCGGAGTTAAACTCTATCAACGACGACCATCCCCACTCGGCATCCTACTACGTCCGCGGTTATGACAGATTGGAAGCTCTCGTCGCGGTAATTCAGTGCTGCCTCTGCATGAGACGTTGGTGAGCAGTCAAGAACACGGCCGTTCACGTAACGGCCAGAATGCCTCACGTAACTTTTATTCAACGCCCATGCACTGAACTAGTAGCAACGCTAGCCGCACAGCGAATCCTTCCGACGGATGCCCATGGTGCCCCCACGCTTGTGCTGCTGCGCCCAGGTGGAGAACACTGTGGTTTCCAGAATCTGAAGCTCGCCTGCTGGTCTGCCGGAGTCACTGCCATGCACATCGCTGACGTTTCAGTTCGTCTAGGCCTGGTGCTGGGTTACGGTTGGTTTCAACGCGCGGAGGAAGTGATCGCTCGAAATTCGCGTATATAACGGCGAGATGGAACGCTCTTCTAGGCTACCTCTGCCAGTTGGCGCACTCAGCTCACGTTCCTCTCGAACTCACAAATCCACAAAATGAGTACAGTAGAGAGGCAGGATTCGGTCATACAGACTGTTCACGTTCACGCTGCACCTTTGTCTGGGGGAGATCTGAAGGCACTTCCGCACCTTGACCCCCCACAGAGGCTTGACATCGAACATGCCGTCGTCCAGGACGATCCTCGAGCATGGCCAAATACTCGCAAGGCATGACATACCTGTTGCACCACGCGCTCATACTAACTTTAACGCAGTATGTCGTCGTAGTCACCATTTGTGCCGCTGCCATGATTGCAGGACTAGGCGGCAACCTCTACAATCGTGAGTGTCGTTTGTGTGTGTGAGGCTGAACATATTCATTGACACCATTCAGCCGCCCTCGCTGAGGTCGAGGCTGATTTGCACGCCACGAGCGAACAAATCAGTTTGACCGTCTCGCTGTTCATCCTCATACAAGGAGGTTTCCCCGTCTTCTGGAGTGCTATCAGTGAGATCCACGGACGCAAGGTAACTGTGAGGGCCATCTAGTCTTTGCGTATCTGACCACGTTACAGGCAGTTTACCTTGTCTCAATCACTTTATGCGCGCTGGGATGCGTTGTAGAAGCACTCTCCACAAGTATCAGCGTGCTCATCGGCATGCGATGTCTACAAGCAGCGGGGTAAATTCATTGTTTCACACGTCTACATGAATTTGTCTGAATGAAGTGCGATCGTTCAAGGGGAAGTGCCGTCGTGACCATTGGCGCAGCGACTTTGGCAGATTTGTATGAGCCTGCGCAACGAGGAACCATGATGGGGATCTATTTGTGGTCAGTGCCGATGGCTCCGCTCATATATCAGATTTCCTTTGTTCTGACGCCCTTTCCTGCCGTCAGTGCCCCGCTTCTCGGACCCTCTCTTGGACCCATAATCGGCGGTATCCTCGCCCAAGCTTTCAACTGGCGTGCAACATTCTGGTTCCTGGTCATCTTCACCGGCCTCTGCATCATACCCTTTGTGTTCTTCAAGGATACGTTCCGTCGCGAGCGCAGCTTGACATACCAGGCGGCGCTGCAGAGGCACCGAGGACGAGAGACCGAGAGAGCGGAGCCTCCGAACGACACGCGGCAGAGCAGTCCTTCCCGACCCGAGTCCCCTGACGACGGACCTGCAGAGGTGAAGAGTGACTGTAGCTCCGTGGACACCAAGGTCGGAGACGTGGATCTGGAAGCTCATGTTCCGAAGCTTGCTGGTGATCCGACACCGAAGAAACTCAGACTGTCGCTCAAAGACGTCAACCCGGTCCAGCCCATGATCCAGGTCCTACGACGCCCGAATAACGTGGTTATCATTATTGCTTCAGGTGAGCTCCACTTCTTCCGCCCCATAGCGCACATTTGCTCACGCGAGACGCAGCATTATTGTTCGCTTTCGAGTATAGCATACTGTACACTGCCTCTTTGACGCTGGCCAACGAATATCACTATGACGCACTGAAGATTGGTTTGGTTCTCCTGTCCTTTGGTTTCGGTCAGTACTCACGTCTAGCTGATCCGATGCGTCTCCCCCTCATCCTTTTTTGTTTGACATCTGTAGGAGCGCTCCTCGGAAGCATAATCGGAGGTCGCTATTCTGATTATGTCCTTGTGAAGATGAGAGCGAGACATGGCGCTGAGAGCTCACCAGAGGCATGTCGCATTCTCCTGTACGACATTGTGCGGTGACTAACGCCTTTGAACATATCGAACAGATGCGCCTGCAAAGCACCTTATATCCGATGCTCTTCCTTCCAGCCGCAATCGTCGCCTACGGTTGGGTATGCGAGGAACATGTACACGAAGCTGCCGTATGTGTCATGCTATTCCTGTCGGGCTTCCTGATGATGTAAGTCCCCTCGATTCTCCTTTGGACCGATTACACGCAGTATCGGCTGATATCCCGCTTTAGCACCATTTACTCGAGCACGTTAGCCTACATTGTCGATGCCAACACCGGTCGATCTTCTTCTGCGGTGGCGACAAATAGCTGCGCGCGGGGTCTCTCCGGCTTCATCGCTGCGGAGATCGCTGTTCCCTTACAGGTCGGTTGACGTTGACATGGGTAGAAGATCATGACCTAATACTCATCGTTGTGTTCTGCCCCCACAGGATGCTCTTGGGGATGGAGGCTTGTATACCCTATGGGGCGGCTTGATATTATTGGCAGAGCTACTGATAGTACTGGTCTGGTGGAAGGGCAAGCAGTGGCGTGAACGCACCAGCGCATGAAAATAGAATCGCTATGCTAGCGAAATCCTAGACAGATAGCGGTGAGTACTGCATAGAGATTGCCATGAGCAATAGTAGACTTTGTATTCGTATCGTTGTCTTGCTGGGTGTCTTCGTACATTGCTTCGGTTAGCATCTACATGGGACCTAATTTACTGTATGTATCGGTAGTCATAACTTACTATGGACGTGGCTTTGTCATTTCCGTGGAAATCCTACAGCGACTACGTGCAAATTCTGATATGTTTACTTGGTTCTAGTATGATCCCCGTGCCACTCTGAGTTTGAGAGCTCATAAACAACTCGACGTTGTGCCCAATTTGGCCAGTGACTTCGTACGCACACTTCGGCCCATAAAGCCGAAGTCGCTTCATGAGACGCCAATGCCGTTGCTGCCGAGCGCCAGATAAGTTGCAAGGAGACCTCCACGGCCATGAATCGGATTTGGTACGCGTACGGGCGACCGCAAGGAAGAGTCATGTCAGCAGTCGTATCACCAGATTGGTTTTTCATCTCGAGTCTCCGAGGGCACCCCGTCCTTGACTTACGACCACCACGACCTTCACGACGGCGACGAGAGCTCCGGCGCGGCCATGAACAGTCAGAATCAAACGCTCAAACCATCTGGACCGGACCTAGGCAGGAAAGGGAGCACTGCAGAGAGTACACCTGTCCAGGTCAAGTTGGATATAGAACATGCGGAAGTGAAAGATGATCCACGCAAATGGTCAAAAACTCGTAAAGTCAGTCCTTTGAGACACGGCAGGCGCCTTCGGGCTAACCTTCATTCTAATATGACAGTACATTATAGTCACAATGATATCTGCGGCCTCTATGATTGCCGGACTGGGTGCAAACATATACAACCGTGAGTTATTGAACCAGTTTGTCTTTTGCAATCCTGACCGAAGTCTTGATCACTAGCCGCAATTACACAGATAGAGTCCGACTTGCACGCGACGGCTGGTCAACTCAGTCTGACGCTGTCGCTGTTCATTCTCATTCAGGGCGGTTTCCCCTTGATCTGGAGTTCAGTCAGTGAAATCCAGGGTCGCAAGGTAGGCATGACTGTTTGCCACACATATCCAACTCACATGTGCCCAGAATGTATACTTGACGTCTATTGCCCTGTGCATGCTGGGATGCATCGTAGCAGCTACGGCGAAGACGATCAATGTACTTATCGGGATGCGTTGTCTGCAGGCCGCAGGGTGAATATATGCACCCTCCCGAAAGTTCTCCACCAGGCTATTGACGTCGATGTTCATGCAGTTCGAGCGCTGTTATATCCATTGGTGCTGCGACGTTAGCCGATCTCTACGAACCTGCTGAACGAGGTACAATGATGGGGATATACTATTGGTGTGTATCGGGACGCTCCCGTGAACCACAACTGATGGTTCGAACTACTTCAGTGCTCCTCTACTCGGACCCTCTCTCGGACCAATTCTAGGGGGCGTGCTGACCCAGGCCTTCAACTGGCGCGCGACATTCTGGTTCCTCGCGATCTTTACAGGCCTGTGCACTCTGTCCTTCGTATTCTTCCGGGATACCTTCCGGCGAGAACGCAGCCTTACGTATCAAAGCGTGCTTAAGCGTGTGCTCGAACAAGAGGTCAAGAAGGCCGCCGCAGAGGCCGCAAGACACCTTGTTTCCGAGAAGCCCGTGGATGCAGACGACGCTCGCACTGCAGTCGTGTCAGGGGATGACAAGAGCTCGAAGGACGCGAACGCTCGTGACGCACTTGGCGGGGATGCTGACGACAGAGACGTCGAGGCACAAGCCACGTTGTCTGCTTCCGAGATTCCTGCAGCCGTCAAGGAGGTTAGACTCTCCCTGAAGGACGTGAATCCCATTGGCCCGATGATCCGCGTCCTCAGCCGGCGGAATAATCTCGTGATATTGTTTGCCTCGGGTGAGCCTGTCTGTCGAGCGATGCCCTAGGCCCCCATCTGAAGATTCGTGCTCGCTGCAGGCCTGCTATTCGCCTTCAATTTCAGCATCACGTATACCGCATCGCGGACCTTGGCCAACGAGTACCACTACGACGCACTCGATACAGGCTTCGTCCTGTTGGCGTATGGCATAGGTGTGTTGACCCACCCCCTTCAGGTCAACCTCGGGATCACAACTAAGCTTTCTACAGGCTGTCTACTTGGCAGCGTGCTCGGAGGTCGCTACTCGGACCATATCTTCACCAAGGTGAAGGCCAAACATGGCGGAAAGAGCCAACCGGAGGCACGCACTCTGTACAGTGTCCATACACAGTGGGCGGTCCATGCTTATTTCATTGCTTCGTCTGCAGATGCGTCTGCAGAGCACATTGGTCCCTATGCTGTTCTTTCCTCCTTCCGTCGTGGCGTATGGCTGGGTGTGTGAAGAACATGTCCACATAGCAGCCGTCTGTGTGATGCTGTTCCTGGCAGGATTCTTCCAAATGTACTCTCATCGCTAATGCCCGGGACGCGAACTAACTGACCTGTCCCTTCCCCCTCCAGATCTATCTACTCGAGCACGCTCGCGTACATTGTAGACGCCAATGTCGGCCGTTCTTCGTCGGCCGTGGCCTCCAACAGCTTCTTCCGCGGACTCTCAGCGTTCGTCGCCACCGAGGTCGCCGTGCCACTGCAGGTGCGTTCGTGGGGGTTTCTCGGTCCTCGTGCCGAACAAGAGGCCGCGTCCCTAGCATATGATGCTAACGGCCATGCACAGAACTCCATAGGTGACGGCGGGTTGTACTCGCTGTGGGGTGGCCTGACCCTCATCTCCGAGCTGCTGATCCTCCTGGTATGGTGGAAGGGGGGCCAATGGCGGGAGAAGGCGATAGCAAGCGAGGCCCGCAAGTCTGGCTAGACCGAACGTGCTTCATTATCGGGATCACATACAGCCTTCCTTACCATAGACATCGTTCCAGATCCGGGCTGCTTCCCGCACACTAGACATAGATGGGACTTGACCGGGCATCGAGGAACTGCACGCCATACACGTTTTGTATTGAGCCCGCATGCCCTCCCTTGGACCGACGTGCGGTTGCGCTTATAGCCATTTACCACACCTAGCGTCATCGTTGTTCACGCTCCGTTCTCATAATCGGAGGGAATAGAAGAGCACGCAGCTCTATACGTCAGATGGTAGCTATCGCAATAGGCGTGGATCATGCCTTGTTTGCACCGCACTACTGTAACTTATGCATATGGGAGCAACACGCAGAAGATCGTCACCGTCCGCATGGATCTAGACTCCCCAGGTAGACGTAGACAAGTCCCTCAACCTTCGTGCCTCAGGATATCCTCATGGACCTCGAGCGAAGCCGTGCTGCGAAGGCTCGCACGCTAGCTTCTCCCTCGTGAGGCAACTGTTAATGACCACCAATGAAGTACTTGGTAGGAGCGACACGACTGCTTCGACATGGCGCCCGAGAGCAGGGTCCTCCACGTCGTCGACAAGAATAGCCGGAATCACTGCGTCATCCTGGACCCTCTCCGACAGAGAGCGGCCTGCAGGTTCACGAGCGAGGATTCCCCGTTCTGACACCGTAACTGTAACTTAACACAACGACATCATCGAGCGTCTGTAGGGCTACCCATGCATGATGGCTCTGCGTATACGCGTTGGCCATATTTGAGTCAACCGAGTCAATTGCAGGTGTGACTTCTTGTGCACATGAAAGTGTAGTCGGGGGTGAAGCATAAACGGTGAACTTACTCGCTGTATCTGTCTGTATGTGCCCAGTCGAGAATGCTTCGCAACCCCTCAAACCCCTGATTGCAGCAAACATCAGTGGCCTCAAAATCGGTAGCACAATTGTAAAGACACTTGCTTCACATTACTCCTGCCTAGACTAGAGGTTATTATACAGGTTCGTTGATGATACAGGTTCCACATCCGAGATCGGGTTCATATGATACAGTCGCAGCGCGCCGTCCGTGGCGTCACGTTCATCGCCATTCGTGTCCGTCACTGTCATCATCGTATATCATGTCCTCGCGGTCCGAACCGTCGTGGAAGATGTCTGATGCAATGGTTTTAGTGCGATGAATGCCGTTAGCAGTAGGTGTACTCACCACTGCCTTCACTTCCATCGCTCCTGTCGGACTCCTCATCGGGATAGTCGTTCTGGTACCAGTCCTCCGCTGCACACCACACATTAGATGTGGACAGCTACCTGGAGTATCCCAGGAATGACGCACCGTTCGAATCCTCATCGGCGGTATCGTACACTTCCGAATCGTTGTCGTCGTCCGAATCGTACACAATCAGCTCGTCGGGCACACCAGTCCTATGGGAAACAGGCAGTCAGTCAAGTCGCCATATCCATACATGACATGGAGGAACCTACAGTGTACCGACGTTCCCGAGCGACGCGCTCGGGTCGCGCATGAGACGTTGATAGAAAATATCATACACATAGTCGCTATCATCCTCCTTCACTGGCAGAGGAGTGGGCGTTACGGACGGGGAGGCAACCGGATCTTCCACTAGTAAGACATTAGTACAAGAAGCAAGGGACAGCAACGCATAACGTACGCTTGAGGTAGTCTTGAAGGAGGGGCAGGAACTTGGCTACCTCCGCATCCACCGAGTCGGAGGCTTCGATGCCCGACGTAGACGGGACGGCCTCATACACGGCGAGCCCGGCCTGTGCTGCGCGGGCCGCCTCCAGCTCCTTCATGGACCATACTTTCGGGCTGCAGGCGCAACACCACATCAATATCACAGATAGAGACTCAATGTCCAGGACGACGCACGGAGCTACGGGCATACGTCTCCGGACTTGCGGGTCCGTCGACGGCACCTCGCGCTTGAGGATAGTGTACTTGCGGGGAGTCTCGTCCGCCCTCGGACGTTTCGTCGGAGGTGGCGCTGCTGCTTCCGCTTCCGCTTCCACTTCTGTTGCTGCCGGTTGTGTAGTAGTGGCGGGCGGAGCAGACTGGCCCATATCTGCCGGGGCAGACTTGGACGAGGGCAAGCCCGCCAGTTGTCTTGGTTCGCGCTCGCCTTCTTGCCTCGATTCGCGTGCGAGGGCAGCTAGCCGGGCCTGCCAGTGGGGGCCTGAGTGGCAACGACGACCTGAGAGACGTGAGGCGCACCTCAAGATCCTTCTTGGTCTGCTCGTCGTCCCACGCGCCCTGCTCGACCGTCTCGGCGAACTTGAAGAAGTTGAGGCCGGCGCGGGAACGCTTGCCCTTGGGGCGAGCGACCTCTCGGTCGACCACTGTTCATAGGATGCATCGGTCAGATCAGTGGCTGCGAGCGAGCGAAGAGAACGCACACAATCCATCTAGCGGCTCTTCATTCCGCTTGCGCTTGATGCGCAGGATGGCGTACGGTCGCTCCGCCTGGTTGTCTTCGCCCTCTGTGTGAGTTTGTGCTGGTTCTGTGCCGCTCATGTCGCGTCGATTGTTCCGTATGTTCGCTGAGCGTTGTAGTAGAGCTGGCTGACTATTGCGGAGTGGGTAAGAGAAAGGGAGTGACAGAGGAGGACAGCTACTGCAAGCGCCGAAGAGCCGGAACCTCGACCAACCGTCGCGTTCTACGTCACGGGACCGAGTCTGGCCGGCGTCTACGCCAACTCTCGCCTTCGAGAATCGAGGTCTAACTTGAAGTCTTCAAGGCCCGCGGCCGACTGTGGTGTACACTGGTGTGCACTGTGAAAAGTCCCGTCGTGAAAGGCTTGTATCAATGTATGCGTGGCGCAGAGCCTGCTGCTTCGAGTCGTTTTCGGGGGATTGCTTGCTCTCCGGCTGGTGGGGAGCAGCGAGACATAGGGTCACGGAGGGAGGAGTGCTGCCACCCGCCGACCTCAAGGCCTTGTTGCGTGGACCCGAGGCCCGGACGGGGACGAGGTGCGCTGGACTTGTCTAAGGCAGTTGAAAGGGGGCAGCGCTGTGCGCCGTACAGAGTCCACTGGCAGACAGTCACACAGACGCGCGCGACGCGCGTCGCGTCGCGTCAGTCATGTGTCCGTGTGGTGGTAGCCTGGAGGCAAAGAACCGCGCAAGTCGCGTTGCTGCCTAGTGCAAAGGCCACCATCATAGAATTTCATGTACCGTACAATACAAGTTCCGGTGAAATACATAGGGCGAAGGCACCAGGACGCTAGTTTCGCGTACGGATTCGTAGGCGAAAAGCGGGATGTACTATACGGCACGGTGGAGGCAGGCCTACGCTCACAGTGCAGTGTCTGCAATGTCTCTTCCCAGCGTGACCGCCTTACAGCCGCCGCCGACCTCGACGTACGGGCGCCATGGTCTCTCATACATGCTCGAGGGGAGGAGGCGCAGCCAGAGTGTGCGGCGAGGCCCGAGGTGCGTGAAATGATTCCCAAGAGGTCTTTGGGAGTAACTGACAGCTCGCACGTGCAGGGTGCCCGTTGCCCCGCTAGCCAGTTACTTAGACTCTTTGGTAGCCTCGCGCACCGTCACCGCGCCATCGTACATATGCGACTCGACTGCGCCCGTCCGCCGCCCCATCGCCCGCCGCTTCTCCCAAGCAGACGCGCGTTCGCCGCACACCCTACACGACGTCCGTTGGCGTTCCTCTGCACGCCGCCATCATGAGGACAGTACGCGTCGCGATGAGACGCGTGCGACGCGGGCGTAGTCCACAGTGGTGGGCGGCAGCGGCGGGAACGGACAGCGGCGTCGCAGCAGAAGATGCATATGGTCGTGGTCGTGGGTCAAGAAGGGCGTGCGGCGTGCGGACGACGGTGGGTGGGCGAGTGACGAAAGAAGCAGCTGCTCCACAGTTGTCGGCGGGCCCGACATTTGGTGCGATCGGCGGGCGGTCGCTCCACATTTGACGCGATCCGCGGGATAGATGCGCACGTGGTGGCGGAGGCGCGATGTGTACACACAATGCGAAGGGAATGTGGTCTCCTCAGAGGAGCAGGTGCAGACAGAGGCCTAGTGCAGGCCTCCCAAAATCGTCCCGCGTGTATGTACTACTAGCTTCAGCTGCTTGGAGAAAAGTAGATCAACAATGCAGCAGTGACGGAAAAAGTTCAAGGCTGCGGCAGTTTACTTATAGGAAACTAGACGTCGTCGTGCGAGATACAAAGGTGTGCTCTGGTCGCAATGCGCAATTCGGGCGGGTGTCCAGGCAAGTCCCGCGACACGCACACGTGACCGCGATACCAGTCGCACCGATCGCGTCCATCGGGCTTGGATCTAAGCTCGCGTTCTACTCGACCTATGAGCGCAGAGTGTCGTGTAGCGTCGTCATATTTGGACTGTCTATGTTATGAGGCTACTCATATATAAATGCTGATGCTGCTTCACAACTCTTCCCTCTCCTTTTCTTCCTCCCCCAGGCCGCTTATCGAGGCCGCGAGGGCCCGCAACCGACAGTAGGTCCATACTTCACGGTAAGTAGCCAGTCTATCTGGCTTTTGAAACCTTTGGGCTCACGTATACTGGGTATATGCGCGCCCGTCGTACGGAAGTCTACATATCAGGCTTGCATCTTTGTCTAACGGGCGCATGTGCCTGTGATCCACGATCAGGCGGAGTCTCGATGAATTGCAGCACTACGATGAACTGGTTTGTTGACCCACCCGCATCGCAGGCAGACGTTGTCAATAGCGGACGCTGCTGTCTCGGGATGTCGGATGTCGGAACCAACACACATGGTACGTGTTACGCACCAGCTGCCTCACACAAAGTGACTGAAGCCAAAACATTGAAGAGTACTCGCCAAGTCGAGTGACCGGCCCTTCCATGCACGGTTGCTGGATGGAATAATCGAGGCTGTCATGGGTGGATTCCTCCTTGACCCTCGGACGCTGGGATCGGCGTGGGGAGCGATTCTAATCACAAAATAGGCTTACCCGCCTATGGATGCTCCACTGGTCGCTACGTATCCGTCGCCGGTTTGCAACATGGCTTCAACTCTCCGCGGTGGGGCTCGAGGCACTTGAGTCTGGCACAGGTGGTAGCGCCCAGATTGAGATCTGATCCTGATCCTCTGCCGCCGTCGGTTCGTTCTCGCTCATCCTGCCCGCTCGGATGCATCAATGGAGAGGGAGGAAGTGCCCCGTTCTCCGAGCGTCTTTGTCTCTGGCACCAGAGGCTGCGAAGACGCCAGGGGGCAGTGACCTGAGCCAGAAGCGCGAGGCTCGAGCTGTCCGCTCGATCACGAGCGCCGCCCGACCGTCGGGCGGGGATGCGCCACCGCCTCGGGGGCCAATGACGTAGAGGCGCCGGGTGGGCTGTCGAAAGAGGAAAGCGAACCGAGCTGCCGCAGGCGGAGGCTTTGCGCTCCTTGTCGTCCTCTTCCATCAGCGCGGATGCCCCAGCCGCGCTTGAACGGCCCCAAGGCGTCGTCGCCGCCCCTTTCGCCGTCTTCGTCGTCCATTTCCCCGTCTTCGCCGTCCATTTCGCCGTCTTCGTCGTACGTCTATCCCGTCCGCTCGCTTCTCAGCGGAATCCGTCCTGCTCGAGCAGCCGCAGACACGCCAGGTGCGCATCTATCATCGCATTCGACGATCCCTAGCACATGCTCATATTCGTCGTAGATGTCTCCACGCCCGCGGCGTCTTTAGAGGAACACGGCAACGCCCCCATCGGATCCATTCCCGGAGAGGCGCCCCCCTCCAGTCGTTCTCTTACCGGCAGCGCCCTCCTTTCATCCACACCGTCCTTTAGCACCAAAGTCTCTGAGCCGCGGAAAGTCAGTACGCCAAACTTTCGCGACTTCTCTCCGGACGACGACCCGCTTTCCCGCCGTTCGTTTGTCTCTGCACACGCCGCTCTCCATCAGGCAATGATGGACACCGCGTTTCATGACGATGCTACGTCCAATGCAGAGGCGTTCTCTGACGTCGCGTCCGAAGACATCCTGCCCGCACCAGATGATAGCGTCTCCAACTTCGACGCGGCATTACACGGTCGCTTCTCACACTCGGGCATCGTCCACTTGGCGCCTGCCTACTCCCCGCCAGGGTCTAATCCATCTGCGCCCTCGACCATCTCCGCGCCGTCGTCGCGCGAGTGCACGAGCCGCGACCCCGTCCAGGAGCCGGACGCGACCTCTCCGGAGTTGAAGGCCGAAGACGCGAGCTTGTCGAGCAGTAGCGGTGACAGTGGAGAGGGGCCACATATTGCGTTCAAGTACGCGCACATGGAGGATGAGCACGGACACCATCTCATTGTCGGGAGGGAGGGAAAGCTAGCTAAGTGTGAGGACGAGGTGCGTGCCCGAGTTCTGTGCGGCGGATTCGCGCTCACGATACGCAGCCGATCCGTACACCTGGTGCCGTCCAAGGCTATGGCATTCTCATCGCGGTGGAGGAGGATGAGGAGACAGGCGATCTTGTCGTGCGCCAGGTGTCAGAAGTGCGTGTGGCCCGCATCCTCCCATCAGTCTAGCATGCTGACAGCCTCGCAGAACTCGACAGAGCTGCTCGGGCTTTCACCGCAGCACCTCTTCTCCCTCGAGTGCTTCTCGCAGACCCTACCCGACCAACAGGCGGACGTGCTTTTCGACAACATTCAGTATCTGAACGACACCGCGCTCACACCCGAGGAGCAAGCCGAGAACCTACACGTCTTCATGTTGAGCGGCTGGGGCGAACCGGGCACCGTAGTCACAGAAGCCTTCTCGAAAGACCCCCAAAGGCGGCGCAGCTGGACCTGTTGGGTTGCAGCGCACCGGCCACAGATGACGGCCCCGGCGAACGTGGAGACGAAGTCGGATGGTACGTCCTCGAAGACGGATAGCAACATCATCATCCTGGAGTTCGAGCTCGAGCGCGACACGTTCAACCCGCTGTACCCGCCCCTCCCTACCGACGACACGTCGTCGATGTACTCGGGCGTGTCCTCGCCCTCGGAGGGCACCGCAGCCAGCTCGAACTCCCCGAGCAACTCTGCAACAGATAGCTCCGGCCGCACCTTGGTATCCTCCGGCAGCTCGCAGGATCAGCTGGCGAGCACACTGGAGGAGTCGCCTGGCCTGGCGTCAACGCCAAGCCTCGTGAGCAGCGGGAGCGACCTAGTTCCTCGTCAGACGGACAGCTCGCCTGCGCGCTCGGGGACGGGTGGAACATCCGCCTTCGATACCAACGCTGAGGATGACTGGATGCCCAGCCCGGAAGATATCCTGGAGAGCACGACGAGCCGATCGAAGCCTCTGCTGGCGCTTGAGCGCCTTCGGCGTACACGACGCGTCGTGGGTGACTCTTCTGCGTCCGGTAGCACCAGTACGTTTGGGTCATCGAGCTCTGGCTCTCCCAACGGGAACGCGGCACGGGAGTCACTGCGGCGGGGCCCGTCCCGCCGCCGCAGAGGCACGGGGGCTGTGGGCATGATGGACGTGTTTGCGGTCATGGCGCAGATCAACGAGCAGCTCGGAGCAGCGCCAGATCTGGATACGTTCATGAAGGTCGTGGTGGGTGTCATCAAGGACCTGACGCAGTTCCACCGGGTGCTGGTGTACCAGTTCGATGAGCTGTGGAACGGGCAGGTCGTTGCCGAGCTTGTGGACTGGAAGCAGACGCACGACCTGTTCAGAGGGCTGCACTTTCCGGCTACGGACATCCCCGCGCAGGTAAGTGGTCCACGCAGACATC